GTACTCCATGTCTAGTTGGCGTCAACGCTGAGCCTCAATTATCTCCTAGTTCATCTCTCTGCCCAGCAGTCCCAGTCCCACCTATACCTCCTGCCTAGCATTGGCCATTCAGCTCTTTAGTAAACCAACTACAGAGATATATCTCCCACCACACAGTTACAAATACCCCACAACACTGCAGACTATAAATCAGTGCAGGGAATCAGCTTAAGACCATAGGTTAGCAAGTACTCAATAGTAAGCACAGATAAATGTTTCTTCCTCGCAAAAATGCTGGGAGAAACTAGCACAGAAAATTTACATGCATCACCTAACTACTACAATAACATGCCACAGGCTAGACAACTCACCTAGAGGTAAAGTTTAAGCTAATTTCTTAGCAACTGAGATGCAAATTAACCACACCAGTAACTTTCAGTCTGAAAGCAGAGGACAGAAGATAATATCTGATAAAATACTATCATGGTCAAAACACTGTAATTGGAACTTAAAGCAAAATTTAAAGAAATTTGGGGACTGGAGAATGACCAGGGTCAAAGCGACTTGCTGCTCTTCAGTAAGACTGACCTGGGTTTGGTCCGATGGTGATTTGAATGAGAATGGTGTTCATAGTCTCATAAGTCTGAACATGTGGTCTGTTGATGGAACTGTTTGGGAAGGACTAGGAGGTGTCTCCAGAGTGGTTTCAAAATCCTCTTCTTTCTGCCTCCGACTCACAGATCAAAATGTGAACTCTAAGCCGTTCCTGCCGTCATGTCTTTGCTCCACTATACACGGAATGTTTATGAGGCACACATACCTTGGGGGTAACCAACAGTTCTCTAATTGGACTGGACATTATGCATGATACTGTGAACCTAACCAAACATTCAGAGGCTAATGAAATTGCAGATCTTGGAGAACCTCCAACTGTCACTTTATTATATGAGCATTAACTCCTAACTACATCTAAATATTTGTTCTGTGCCTACAGATAAAATGCAGTCCTCACCCCTCAAAGAATTTTTTCCTTGCAACAGACAGAGACCAATTACAGGAAACAACAATCAATCAAAATGCAAAGTTGGTATAGGAGTCTACTTCTTCAGGATTCCAGGGAATGCAAAAGACAGCTGGAACATCCAGCCTAGTGGGACTGAGCAACTACTAGATTCTTGACTTTCCATTCACAACAGGTCAATGTTGTACTGCAGCCTGTAAGTCATTCCAATAAATAGATAGACAGACAAAGAGATTTATTTAATAAGTTCTGTTACTCTTGAGAACCCTTACCTCTTACTAATATACTGACCTAGGGGCATCCTGATCTCTAATGGTTCTTTTGCCACTGTTTAGTTTTGGAAAACAAAATCAAATCAAACATAAAAATACCAAAACACATGCAGAAGGTACTCAGGATTTTATGGCCAAAAGGTCATCTTATTTACTTTTATTCAGTCAAGACAAAATACGCAAAAAACACAAATCACTAACACACATACCCAGAAAAGGTAGTGTGCAATTTAATTGGCATTTTCTCTAGCTCAGATTTCTCTAGCTATGCCTTGCTATGCCAATTCTGCAGAACACAAAATATGCAATTTTTTCAGAATACAGTGCCCAGTAGGGAAATCATAGTCCTCTACTAAACAGTAATTATTAGCTATAATATCTGTACCTAAACAAAACACAAAATCAGTTGCATTCTTTTGTTATATTTTTGGTTTTTGAGACAAGGGCTACATAACTTAGGCTGGCCTCCAACTCCTGATCTTCCTACCTCAGTTTCCTGAATCCTAGCTTTGCTGAGCACTACCATGCCTAGCTGAACTGCATTCTTTATTTGTTATGAGATCTAGTGACCACTTCTGGTGTTCAGACATACATGCAACAAAACATTGTATACTTGATAAATAAATAAATCTTTAAGAAAAAAAAAGGTAACTTACTATAATTACTGCATTCAGGAAGCTGAAGCAGATTTGTCACTGAGTTCCAGACCAGCCTGAGCCTTTCTCCAAACACTAACAAAAGGTAAACATGGTAGTAATGTAGTTCCAGCACGTCTACAGCAAGATGGGAGGTGAAAACTGAGAATCCCCAGAAGCGTGAAGGCCAACTAACAAGAGACCCTGTCTTAAACAATGTAGAAGGCAAGGACTAGCACCTGAGGTTGTCTTGACTTTCAATAATGTGTACCCTGGCATGTGCATGCATGAACTCGAACTCACACAGTTTTGTTTTATAAAAAGCTGTGGCCTACGACATATGGCTCTGTGGGTAAAGGCACATGGGGCCAAGTGTGATTGACCTGAGTTCAACCCCTAGTCCCACATGGTGAAATGAGAATTGACTTTTGCCAACTTGTGTTTGAAACCCAGTGTCGTGCCTCACACGTTTAATCCCAGTACTCAGGAGGCAGAGGTAGGCGATCTATGCGAGTTTGCTCTACAGAGTGAGTTCCAGGACAGCCAGAGCTACAGAGCAAGACCTGTAAAACGGAAAAAAAAAAAAGTCCTCTAACCTCACACATGTGCTAAAGTACAAGTGCACCCACAAGAACATGTGCAGCAACAGTTACTAATAACCCAACCAACTTTGTGTGCCCTTACTATTTTTAATATACAATACTGTAGCCTAGTAATTTTACTTTCTCATTAGCAAATTTATGTATTATCTATTACTAAAACATAATTTTGTCAATAATATGTAAGAAACATAAAAATAGCTTTAAAAACAATCAAGGACCATGAGACTCCAAAAACATGTAAAAATTTAAGGTGGATACAAAACATCATATGCACTGTAACCAAATTATTAACCAAATTTTTTATTTTAATTAAAATAGCAAAGCTCAGGTTTTTGTAATAAATTATTTTATTCTAAAATAAATAACATTTCCTAATATTCATGATTAAATTATTTCTACCATATCTCCCTTGAAATGTACCTGCCAGCTTTTTGTCTACTTTCGGGGGGGGGGAGGGGAGGTACCACGTTAGACCATAAAGAAAGTTAACGACCCTTTAAATTATCACTTGAAGTTTATTTTGCAGACTTTCCTTCAATATCATGTAATTTACTGATCGAGACTGTTTATAGATGCTTGGCTTTTGAGACAATTAAAAACCTTTACGAACTAAAATTTGACATCATGATTTGTTTAACTAAGAAGTGTTGTGACGGTGAAACGAACAGAAGATTTAAAGCAGGAATATGATGACTTCTGAAACAACCGGCCACGTCTCCCTTCCGTCAGGAGAAAGACAGAAGGAAAATGATGAGGAAAGAAAGAGGGCGAGACAGGCAAGAACATTGTTCTCCCCCACTTGCAAAAGGGAGGGAAACTCTGAGGCCTAAGCAGATAACATAATCAACCACGTCAGTTTCTATTAAGGCATCTTCTTTACATGTTATTGAATCCCATCATGCCTTTCATATTGCCAGCAGCACCTTGTTGAAACTGCCTCATCATTGACTGAAGTCCTGCCATGCCACCTAGAAGGAACAGAGAGTTAAAACAGGTTATGACCATGTGGATTCTAAAATGGTTACTGCTTTTGCCTAAAAAGTACCTTCATTTCTAAAAAATGACAGCAATTTAGTCTGTAGACTTTAAAACTATACCAAATTAAAATGTGTATTATTAGATTTATTTTCATCTAAAAAAAATGAAAATGTGCTCCATAAAGTTACCATGAAGAATAGGGTAAAACATGAAAAGATCTTGGAATAGTTCCTGTTCACGCTCAAGAAGTCTAAACAAAAACTAAGTCTTCTTGTAACAAGAATTCGTTTTATAAAATTGATCAATTCGGGATAGGGGCTGTGATTCAAAGAACCTATGGAAAAAGAATTCACCATTTGTTAAGCACTCAGAACCATACTAAATGCTTTCACATATATCAGCTTACTTATTTGTTACAATCCCCTGATGAGATATTATCTAAAATCTTTATAGAAAAGGAAACTGAGGGCAGTGACGGCGCATGCCTTTAATCCTAGTACTCGGGAGGCAGAAGCAGGCAGATCTCTCTCAGGTGAAGGCCAGCCTGGTCTTTATACCAACTTCCAGGGCAGCCAGAGCTACATAATGAGACACTGTTTCAAACCCCTCTCCCTCAAATCCCCAAATAAACATACAAAATAAAGTAATTATAAAACTAGAAAAAAAATTGGGCGTGGAAGATGGCTCCTCAGGTAGTGAGCTTCTTTGGTGCACAAGCCTGAAAACCTGATTTGGATTCCAGCCCCTGCACAAAAGCTGTGCACAGTGGCCGGTGTTTCTAGAATTCCAAGCCTGGGAGGAAGGGAGGAGAGAGCGACATGTGGATCACTTGGTGGTGCTGCAACCAAATTAGCTCAATAAGAGACAAGTTAATCAGTTAGAGATACTATTTAAAAAGGTAGAGAGCAAGAGAGGAAGACTCTCCACAGTACTTGTTCCAGCTTACAAATGCATACACCACACATTCGCACACACCACGTACATACACACAAATGGCAGCAGAGGAAAACATAAAACCTCAGCTTATTTATAAGCTAGGGAGATGGTTGAGTGAGCGAAAGTGCTAGTTGCTCAAGCCTGATAACGACATGAATTCCCAGAACCCATGCAGGAAGCTACATGCAGCAGTGTGCATCTGCAATCTCAGCTCTCAAAACAAGGTAAGGCTATAGGCCTGCTAGCTTAGACTACACACAGCAGAGCAGCGAAAACAATGAGACACTGCTACAGCAAGACAGAAGGCAAGGACTGACTCTGGAAGTTTGTCCTATGATCTTATCTGAGCAAGAAAGCATGAGCACACACACATCATATACACAAAAAACACAGAGACACACAGACACAAAGTTCTTCATAAACTCTTCAAAAAACTTCTGCTTATCTAGAATGATTAACAATCAAGAATCAGATGGTCATCTTCCTTCAACCACCACAATAGTCTTACCATTAAACTACAACCCTCATAAATTTAACTGTATGTTACAACTGGTAAATACAAGGATTTTGTATTTACCCATATGATGAAGAACTCGTGGATCCATCATTTTGGCCATTTGTTGATTCAATTTTGCCATCTGTGACTGACTCACATTCTTAGACATATCACCACCTGATAAAACAAAAAATTTAATTAGTTTATGATATGGTATAGAATATCATATACAGTTTACTAATATTTTTCTCAATTACATCTTTTTGATGAAAAATACAAATTCTTTATAAAGGATTGTATGAAATGCTTTTCATTGGTGTTACTGCCTTAGTTCTGGCTAGATTGGAATTCACTGGTAAGCCAAGATAGACAGAGATCCACCTCCTCTACTTTCTGAATAATGGGATCAAAGGCCTCCTGAGTGGTGGGATTAAAGGCGTGGGCCATCATTACACAGATCAATTTAAGTATTTTATTTTACATTATAGAAATTAAATCAAAAGAGGGCTAGAATAGTTAATAAATTGTTCAGAAAAGCAATATCCTTTTATTTTATACTCTACCTACATAGCAAAATAAATTCCAGCAGGAATAAAAAGACAAACAAAAAATAAATCTGAGCAAGATAAAGATTGGTGCAATAATGCCTACACAACATGCATGAAATTCTGGGTTTGAGTCCCAGACCCACTAAATCAATCAAACAAAAAATGAGTAGAAGAAATACTAAGCTGATTACTGTGGCATCAACACGGGAAAGACTGCATGAGTAAAAGAGATCAAAGGAAAAGATAAACAGGCATAGCCTACATTAAAATGTCTTTTTATTTGTTTGTTTGATTGACTGAGACAGGGTCTCTCTATGTAGCTTTGGTGTCCTAGAACTCTCTTTATAAACCAGGCTTACCTCTCCCTCCCCGAGTCTTGGGATCAAAGGTATACACTACTATTCGCAGCTTTGTTCTGTTGGTTGAGATAAGTCTTACTACAAAGTCCTAACTGATGTGGAACTTGAAGATATCCTTCTGCCTCTTAACTGCTGGGATTGTAGACACTGTACCCACTTGAAACTTTGGAGAGGAGGTGGTGGACTAGGGCTCAGGGCCTCAACATGCTAGTCAAGCACTCTACCTCTGAGCTACACCTCTAGCCCTAAAATAGAAATTTATTAGAAAGCAGAAATAACCTTGGGACAGTCTTTGCAGATGAAAAGCAAGGATACCAAGATGTTATTACAGAGCAATAGGGAGGAAAAACTGAGGGACTGAACAAGGAAGAGGTGACTCACCAACGAAACTCTAATCATTAGATGCACAAAGAAACAAACTTTTAAAATTAAAACTGGAAATATACTGAAAAATATGTGACCATTAAACTAGAAACTACATTACAAAATTTACTTAATGAGTAATCAGATAATAGAGAATGTTCCTGAAAATACCTTTTCAACTAATACTGTATTTGTGTCAACTGTATAATTTGTAAAAAGATTTTAATGGAAGGATTTGTTAATTTGATTACAAGACTTAAAACATTTCCTAAATTGTGTTAATCCACAGTCTTAAACAGAGAAGAAATAAAATGTTACCTAATTCAAAAAAAAAAAAAAGAAAGAAAGAAAGAAAAAAAAAGAAAATTTACTTAAGTGTCTACTATACTTCTAACCAAAGAAGACAAAATTGACTCCATGGAATTGCCTAGAAACTGACCAGGACACTAAAGCAGACAAGTCAGTTAAAGATCTAAGAGGCCTGCAAGATACAAGCACTGCTAAAATAGGAGTCAGTGGTTAGAGAGAGAGAGGGAAGGGAGAGAGAGGACAATACAATTACTGCTGGTATTGTTCTGACACTTGCCCACCTACGTAAGGAATTGCAGCTGGTCAAGCTGGCAATGCTCCTGCTGCTTCTCATGTCTCAAGAATGGTGGGAGTATGAGCATGTGATAGCCAACCCAGTTAATCAATATATTTTGAAGAATGTTTGACAAAATGGAAAATAATCAGTAGTTACATTGACTTTTGTTTCCAACAGCATTTGTTGGATTCTCTGCGGAATGAAAAGGAGTTCACTTTTTTTTTTTTTTTTTTTTTTTGGTTTTTCGAGACAGGGTTTCTCTGTGGTTTTGGAGCCTGTCCTGGAACTAGCTCTTGTAGACCAGGCTGGTCTCGAACTCACAGAGATCCGCCTGCCTCTGCCTCCCGAGTGCTGGGATTAAAGGCATGCGCCACCACCGCCCGGCTAGGAGTTCACTTTTTATATACTCTTACATTCTCTAAATATTCTATAGTATATATGTTTATTGGGGATGGGAACATGAGGGACTGAGATGAGTTGGGAGAGGGACAGAGAGGGAGAGCAATGAAAGAGATACTTTGATAGAGACAGCCATTACATGGTCTTAGGGAGAAACCTGGTGCTAGGGAAATTCCCAGGAAACCACAACTAACACTCTTAACAATAGTGGAGACGGTGCCTGAACTGGCCTATCCTTATAATCATGTTAGTGACTACACTGTCATCACAGAACCTTCATCCAATAACTGACAGAAGTAGATGCAGGGACCCACAGCCAAGCTTTGGGCTGAGTGCTTAGAGTTCACTGAAGTGAGGGAGGAGGGATCATATGAGCAAGGAGGGGTCAAGATCATGATGGGGGAAATCACAGAGACAGCTGACCTGAGCTAGTGTAGGAGCTCACAGACTCTAGACTGACAGCTAAGGAGTTTGCATGTGACCCAACTAGGCCCTCTGAGTGTGGGTGACAGTTGTGTGGTTCGACCTGTTTTTGGGGCCCATGGCACTGGGACCAGGACTTATCCCGGGCACATGAACTGGCTTTTTGGAGTTCATTCCCTATGGTGGAATACCTTGCTCAGCCTTAACACAGGGGGGAAAGGCTTGGTCCTGTCTCAACTTAGTATGCCTTGCTTTCCCTAAGGAGTGGATTGAGGGTGAAATGGGAGGAGGTGGGGGGGGGCAGAAGGGGAGGGAGGAAGAACTGAAGTTGGTATGTAAAATAAAAAAGAAAATCTCACTTTCACTATTAATGTCTACCATCTTGATTATAAAAACAGGTAAGTCATGTATCACATGATAACTCCTGGTGGTTCTTGACTATAACATTAACTTCAGATTCTCTTTCCTCTTCAGTACTGGGATGGAACCCAGGAACTCAGTCAGGCCCTACTACTGAGTTGATGGAGGAAGGTCATTGGTTAAATAATAAAGAAACTGCTTGGCCTCATAGGTTAAAACATAGGTGGGAGGAGTAAACAGAACAGAATGCTGGGAGGAAGAGGAAGTGAGCTCTCCTCTCGGGGGCAGAGGCCTGAGAGGCCATAGCTCAGCTCTCTGAGGCAGACGCACGCGATGAAGCAAGCCGCCAGGTCAGACATGCTGAATCTTTCCTGGTAAGACCGGTGCTACACAGTTTATTAGAGATGGGTTGATCGGGATATCAGAATTAGCCAGTAAGGGCTAGAGCTAATGGGCCAAGCAGTGTTTAAAAGAATATAATTTGTGTGTTGTTATTTCGGGTAAAGCTAGCCGGTGGTGGGAACTGGGTGGCGGCACACAGCCCGCCACTCCTACTACTACACTGAGTTAAGCCTCAAACCCTACACAAGAAATTCAGCAATGACTTTCCTAATAATGCTTTGTGTTTTAACTTCATCTTTTAAGTGATAACGTGCGTTTTCCCCTTACCTTTGAAAAGTCCTTTGATACCACCCATCTTTTTCACCATCTGTGCAAACTTGGTATACTGCGTCAGAAGCTCTTGGACATCTCTTGTTGACACACCTGACCCTCGGGCAACTCTCTGGATTCTGCCTGGTTGCTTACTAAAGACCTTGGCACCATCTGTACTGTCCAGTTCTGCAGATAAGAACCAAATAATTTCATTTACAAAAGATTATCATTTATTATCACAGTGGTCAATCTCTCTGCCTCTGAGTTACACCTCCAGTCCTAAAAATGGAAACATATTAGAAAATAGAAATGAAGCCAAATGAAGCACTGGGTCCTAACAGAGGGTTCCTGTATGCTAGGCAAGCACCCCACCAACTCTCAGATATGGGGGAAGGTATGTGTGCGCACATATGCATGTATGAGCATGTATTAATGTATACATATGTACAAATGAGTACTCTCTCAACTTATCTGTTTGACAGAGGGTCTCTCAATGACCAGAAAACTTGCTGTTTTGGGTAGGCTGGCTGAGCAGCAAGCTCCTTAGGGTCCTGTCTTCACTGCTCAGAAAAAGGTCAAAGGAACATACAGCCATGCCTGGCTTCTGTACACAGATTCTGCAGGTTTGAAATTCAGTCCTCTTGCCTCACAGCAAGTGCTCACCCCCTGAGCAGTCTCCCCAGTCAGCTTCTTTTTACTGAGAGAAAACGTCATTTCTTTGTGCATTATGAAAGATCTTACATACAGAATAAACACATAAACGGTCAAACCATAAAACAGATTTAACAAATGGTAATGTTTGTCATATTTGCTTCTAATTAAAAATTTTAATATAAAATATATTTAAAAATATTTATAGCATTAGAATAAAAAGAACAAAGCAAGCATGTATTCTTCAACTACAATTTTAACAAAACATTCTGAGAACCAACAGGCATGGTGGCATACACCTTTAATCCCCGGATTCAGGAGGCAGAGGCAGGAGGATCTAAGTTTGAGGTCAGTTTGGTCTACACAGCAAGACCTAGCCCAGCTAGGGCTACATAGTAAGACCTAGTTTCAAAAGGAGGAAAACAATCTGAGGACTTCTGAAACTCTCTACCACCGTGTTTCACAGGATTATTCTTTCTATGTCCTCCACACATCATGAGAATATAGCTTATTTCAAAAACAGAACAGAAACACTCACCTCGATTCAACCTATTAAACAGTTGCTAACTCCTAATTTACAAATTTAGCTCTCATAAGCAAGTAGAAGACTAATTAATGGAGAAATTCTTGTATTTTCTATAATGGAGAAATTAGAGCTGGTGATATTCTAATCCTTTTGTAGTGTACTCACAAGTCCCCTTTAGCTTTTTGATCATTCAAGATATAAGGTGCAGTTGTTCTGCCTTTATTTGTATGCAGTGTAAGAAATGAGGTGGACTTCAGTCAAAATATCTATTTTGAGCTACATGGAAGGTAGCAGGCATACTCAGGAGGTTGAGGTGGGAGGATCACAAGGTCTGAGGCTAGCTTGGTACATATAGCAAACCCTGTCTTAAAAACAAAAAAATAAATAAATAAGGAGGAGATTCTACAGTGTAACTGTCTCTAAACAAAACAAGCAAAAACAAAGTAAAATAAACAGAATCCAGACGGAACAGAAAGCACCTCTCAGTCTCCTTTTCTTTGTATCTCAGGCTGAGCTCAAACTGTGATCTTCTTGGCCTCTTGAGTAACAGAATTTTAGGCAGATGATATGCCTAGCCTAACACTCATAACATCCCTAACATTCCTTAACAAGCAGTCTAGATGGCTCAGCAGATAAAGCTGTTTGCTGCCAAGCCCAATAACCTGAATTTAACTCCTGAAATCCATATGGTAGAAGGAGAAACAACTTCTCCACGTTGTCCTCTTACCTCCACACATAAACCAAGTGCTACTTCCAGGCAGTAAGTAACTAAGTAAGAGTTTTTAAATGGGGGTGGGGGATGGGGCAGCTGGGCAGTGGTAGCACACAGCTTTAATCACAGCACTTGGGAGGCAGAGGTGGGCAGATCTGAGTTTGAGGCCTGTCTGGTCTACAGAGCAAGTTTCAGGACAATCAGGGAGGGCTAAACAGAGAAAACTTATCTCAAAACACACAAACAAAAAACCCACCAAAAAACAAAATAAATAAAATTAAATTGGGGTAGGGGTAGCTAAGTGGTTAAGAGTACTGGTCGAGGCCGGGCGGTGGTGGCGCATGCCTTTAATCCCAGCACTCGGGAGGCAGAGGCAGGTGGATCTCTGTGAGTTCGAGACCAGCCTGGTCTACAGAGCTAGTTTCAGGACAGGCTCCAAAGCCACAGAGAAACCCTGTCTCCAAAAACCAAAAAAAAAAAAAAAAAAAAAAAAAAAAAAAGAGTACTGGTCGATTTTCCAGAAAATCAGGGTTTATTTCCCAGCACCACACAGAGGATCTCAAATGCCTATAATTCCAGTTTCAAGGACTCCAACACTCTCTCTGACCTCCCTGAGCACAGCACACACATTATGAACAAATATACATGTAGGCAAAACACCCATACATATAAAGTAATAATTTAAAAAATCAGTTTCCACTATTAAAACAGTAGGTGGCCTCAGTCTTAGCAACCCCAGTGACTGGCTAACAGCATAGGAAATACAGGCTGCAGAGTTTCTAAAATCGGTCCAAGTACAGAGAAGCCAAGCCTGGTGGCACATGCTTTTAATCCTAGCACTAAAGAGCAGAAGGAGATCTCTCTCAATTTTGAACCCAGTTTGGCTTACATAACAAGTTACAGGTCAGCTAAGGCTATACCGTGAGACTGTCTCATAAAAACAAAACAAGAAACTACAGAACAAATGTATGAAATAGCAGACACCCACACATGTAAACACTGATTTCTGCAGAGCTCAGCAACAACGAGCAGTGAGGCTAAGACTGTCTTCACCAGCACAGTTGGGTCAACTGTCTCCCTACACAAACACACCTTCTCAGAGCTCCTGATGCAGGGATAAAGAAAAACGGGAGGACTTCTAGAAGACAACATTACAGAATATGACTCTCGAGGGAGAAAGAATGCTTTCTCTTGATACTCAGTTACATCAGACATCTACAGTTTTCAAGATGTTTCAGTTAACCTGATCTGTTCCTTTTCTAGACTGTTTTTATTTAGTTTCTCTGAAACCAAGTGTTGCTTTCCACCTATGGTTGACCTTGTGCTTGCGACACAGCCCAGGCTAGTTCAAGTTCATTCAAGATACTCCTGCCTCAGTGCTAGGATTATAGGTGTGTGTCTATATACCCAGTGTCTTGGCATTTCCCATTTTGATTAAGCTTGAGACTCAGTATTACCAATTTCTACACACATGAAAAGGATTTTTATTGAGACCTTATTATTTTGTTTTTTTTTTTTTTTTGAGGTAGGGTTTCCATGTACCTCAAGCGGGCTTGAACCTTAACTATGACCTTGAATTCCTATTCTTGCGGTCTCCCCCCTCCCAAACACAGGGATCATAGATGTGCAAGACTAGAGACTGGGATTTTATTGAAACTAAAAATAAACTTGTGGTAATTGAATAATTAAGTAAAGAAGTATGTGTCACTTTGTTATAACTCTAATTAAAGAATTTTTTGTTACATGTCAAACCAAAATGTTTGTCTGGCATTACTGTATGTACTCCCTTGCCAGGCATAAAAAGAAGGCTTTCAGAGGTGGGAGAGCCATCATGTACCCTACAGACTGACTGAGGATAGCATCCCAAGAAACATGTTTAGGTCTGACCCCAGCCTCTCTACCTCCAGTGATCTTGACAGTTTTTTACTCAGCACGATTACAACTCAGTTTCTTTACCTGGAAAAGATAGATGATAGTCAACTATCCCCACTAATGGTTTACATTTGAAAGGTACACATTAAGAATTAAAGAGAATTAAAAAAAAACCCACTGAATTTATTTATTTATAAATGGCTTTTTTAAAGATTTACTTATTTATGTACTTTATGTATAGAGGTGTTTTGTCTGTACATACAGCTTCACACCAGAAGAATAAACCAGGTCCCAGGGCTGGGGAGATGGCTCAGTGGTTAAGAGTACTGACTGCTCTTCCAGAGGACCTGGGTTCAATTCCCAGCACCCACATGGCAGCTCACAACTGTCTGAAGATCCAGTTCCAGGGGATCTGACACTTCACACCAATGCACATAAAATAAAAGTTAAATAAACCATAAAAAATTTAATAAAATAAAATAAACCAGGTCCCATAAGACTGCAGTTATAGATGGCTGTGAGCCACCATGTGGGTACTGAAAATTGAATGCAGGACGTCTGGAAGAATAGTCAGTGCTGCTGAGCCATCCCTCCAGGCCCTGATTATTATTATTTTTTTTTTTTTTTTGGTTTTTCGAGACAGGGTTTCTCTGTGGCTTTGGAGCCTGTCCTGGAACTAGCTCTGTAGACCAGGCTGGGCTCGAACTCACAGAGATCCGCCTGCCTCTGCCTCCCGAGTGCTGGGATTAAAGGCGTGCGCCACCATCGCCCGGCTCCAGGCCCTGATTATTTTGAGACAGGAACTCACCAGTGTATTGCTCACCAGCCTAGAACTTACTATGTAGACCAGGCTGGACTCAAACTCAAGAGTTCCACCTGCCTTTGCTTTTCAAGTGTCTGGGTTAAAGGAGTGCACCACCATACCCAGCCAACGTTTAATGTTTTTAAGTCTGGGATTCTCTCGAAATTGACTGTAACTTTCTCCATTTACTTCTATCAATGTGATGAAAACATACACTTCTTTCTCTGGAACTCACGTAGAGCAGTGTTGTATTTTGAATTTCTTTTCAATGATCAACCAGTCCAGTGAACACAACCCTTTAAGACAGTGCTCACAAGTTACTTCAGATCTACCTAAAAATAAGCTTTTGATCTAAGTTTCTTCCATCTAGCCAACAAGAAAATATGAAACTCTAAACTTGCTGATACTGCCCCCACCCCGTCACATATTCTCTTACCTTGCTGATCTTAGAATACTGCCCACCCCCCCCCGTCATCTACTCTTACATCTTACCTTGCTGATACTCAGAATGCTGCCCCCCACCCCCCCGCCCCCCGTCACCCACTCTCTTACCTTGCTGATCTTAGAATACTGCCCTCAGTCACCCACTCTCTTACCTTGCTGATCTTAGAACGCTGCCCCCCGTCACCCACTCTCTTACCTTGCTGGTCTTAGAATGCTGCCCCCCGTCACCCACTCTCTTACCTTGCTGGTCTCAGAACACTGCCCCCCGTCACCCACTCTCTTACCTTGGTCATTCATGCTATCCATTATTGTCATCAGTTTCTTTAGTCTTGCCATCGACTCCTGCTCATTTCCTTTGCTCATAAAATCTGTTCCAAAACCTGGAATCATCCCCTAAAACAGATTTAAACACAGTCACCAATGACTTAATACTGCTCAAAATGTCACTATTTAAATTTGAAATTAATTCTTAAAAGATACATTTTACCCAAATGATTTATGCAAGTATAACTGTTCTTAGAAATTGTAATAAAAAGATAAAGTATATCATATAAACTCATGAGTACATCATAATGAAACCCACTATTTTAACAATAGATACACACTAATAAGGCTCTTCTGTTATAGCCATGCCTGCCATACTGCAGTGCATTAAACATGCTTTCTTTGTACAAATAAAATGAAGACAAAAACATATAAGGAAATTTTAGAAACATTTAAAGATAACTAACCAAGATCTGACTGAATGGGCCCATTTTCATGATATTCTGAAACTGTTCATACATGTCTCGCAATGTAAACTGACCTGAAATGCAATATAAATAATTCAGAGACAGTAGAAAATGTACATTTCCATTCAATAAAACTAGTATTTTCCTTAATCATCTTGAAGCGTATTATCCAATCAATAAGCATTCACTACAGCAGACAGGATGAATATGCTGCAAGGAGCAATAAGCACATGGGCAGGCATGCTAGGTAGACGCATACAAATAAACAAGGCAAACTACACCTGCTAAAATTGCTACAATTAAAAGGCTTGGACACACCAAACACTAACAAGAATACAGAACATGTAAAATTCCTATCATTATCAGCAAAAAATATAAAATAGTGAAAATGATTTGTAAGATTTAAAATGGACAGACTGAGGACAAAATAGTACTCAAATAATGCCAGGAGTGATGACACATGACTTTAATCCCAACAGAGGCAGCTGGATCCTGTGAGTTTGACAACAGCCTGGTCTACATAGAGTTTTAGAACAGCCAAGGCTACATAGAGAGTCCCTGTATGAAAAAAAAAAAAAAAACTAGGGTTTCATTGATGACTATAAAAATATTTTGTTGATGGGCATGATAGCTCACACTTGTGATCTCTACACTCAGAAGGCCTAGGAGAGAACATTCCAGTTTATAGCTAGCCAGGATTAGAAAGGAAGATTCTATCTCAAAACCAAAACCAAAACCAAATTCTGTGGACTGGTGAGATGGCTCAGTGGATGAGGTACTTGCCATGCAAACTCATGACCTGAGCTCAATCCCTGGAAACCAGAAAAGGTGGAGGCAGAGAACTGATCAGTTGTCCGCTGATCTTCATATACATGCCACAGCATGCCACTCACACATCTCACGCCTCTCTCTCTCTCTCACACACACACACTAATAATAACAACAATAATAATAATAAACTAAGGGAGAAATCATGCTATATGAAATAAACTGGCTCAGTGACTAACAGTGCTTGCTGTTCTGCTGTAAGGACCAGCATTTAGAGTCTAGCATTCACTTTGGCCATCCATAAAAAAGTGGAACCATCTAGATGGCTCAGTGGGTAAAGATGCTTGCCACCAAACCTAACAAGCTGAGTTTGATCCCCAGAATCCATATAAAGGAAGGAGAGAAGGGACTACTCTGACCTCCACACATGTGCGTGACTTGACATGTATAAGTATACACACATTCATTCATACACACACAAAATTTGTTTCGTAAAATGAAATAAGTGACTACTGAACAAACAGAAAACTCATGCAACAGAATCAAGTGAAAGCTTTGAAGTTAGAAAAACCAGGTAACACTGTCAAATATTAACAACTGGAGAACATGAAAGCTATCATTAGGAAATTAGGTAGAGCTGGTGACCTCAGAATGGGCAAAACATTAGGAACAAAACAAAAATGCCTCAGAGACCTAAAGAGTCAGAAATCAGAGAACAGACAAACTGCAGTATACAGAAGCAGAACTAGGGCACTGCTTCACAATAGAAGAAGGGCCTGGCATGGTGTACACCTCTAGTCCCAGAACTTATGAGGCAGGCATATCTGAGCCCAGCTTAGCCTGTATAACAAGTTCTAGGACAGCCAGGGCCACATTGTCAGACCCCGTCTCAAAAGAAAACAGAAAACAAAGCAAAAAACCAAAACAACACACAAAATGAAAGAAGGGAAAGAAATCAGACGAGGGATAATTTCAGCCACTGAACCCGCAGTGTCAGACACTGAGCAAGGTACTATGAACATGAAGATGAAGAACACAGCTATGAACCTTACCTTCACCTTCAAGCAGGGAAGATAAGTATCAAATGATTGTAATGGATGACAACAATTATAAAGTACAGACCAACGCAGAGTACAAGATCCAGTGTCAAAATATAAGTATACTAAGTGTATACTGAATTCTCAACTGTTTTTGTTTCAAGAATGAAAATCGAACTTTCTATTTTAACTTTCAGCTAATTTGATCACAAGATAAAACTAACTCAGTAGCTGCCTGTTCAGATGCCCAAAAATTAAAATGATTTGGGTATAAATCATCTAAAATAAGTATGTGACCTTTTTTTGGAGACAGACTTTCACTATGTAGCTCTGAATAACCTGGAAGTCACTTTGTAGACCAGGCTATCCTGGAACTCAAAGACATTAAAGGTAAAAGCCACTATGCCAAGCTTAAAAATGTATTTGAAAAATTGATTCTAACAATAGACATTATCATTTCCAATGAGTTAACAGCAAATTTATCAAAAAGATGCGCTGGAAAAATGTTTCAGTGGGTAAAGGTGCTTTCTTGCAAGCCCAGTGACCCAAGTTCAATCCCTGGAGCCATGTAAAGGTGGAAAAGAACAGCTTCACCCACATTACCCTCTAACTTCTGTATGAGTGCTGTGGGACATGAGCTACGCCCAAGGGAAAGCACAATAGTGCACATCTGTAACCAAAGCAGAAGCAGGAAGATCAGAAGTCCAAAGCCAGCTTGACCTGTACAGTAAGATCTCTCTCAGGAAACCAGCGGGCTGGGAGCAGACAGCAGTAACGCACTTGCCTAGCATGCACAAAGGCCTGGGTTAAAATCTCAGCACCACAAAAAAGGAAAAACAAGCAACAACAACAACAAAAAAAAAAAAAAAAAAGAAAGAGAAAATATTTGAAATCAAATGCGTTTTTTGCTATAAATATACCATGTTTCAGCTTCTCAATAAGTGCCTCGTTGTCATCCAGCTTCAACTCGTTGACTTTGTCTATCAGGCCTTCAATGTCACCCATACCTGTAAGACACCAAATAGAAAAATGAACAGTTAATAATATGCTCACCTTCACATTATATAAAATATACTGACACATGTAATAGCTTTGCAAGGTTAGTTAAACACTCTTACTGTATTTTATATGAAAAACAATTGGCGCTAAGGAGGAAGCAAAGGCATAAATCAGGGAACCTCCTAATTCCATGATCTATAACTATACCACTTTAAGACAGAAGTTTTACTATCATTACAACTTCTATTACTATAACTACATATTTCTGCATTATGTGTTCAAATTCTTCCCCAAAAGTCTGCATTCAATGACTCATTTTATCATCCTAACCACAGAAAATAAGAGGCTAGAGGGCTGGGGATGCAGCTCAGTAGCAGAAAAGGCTCGGCTTTTGACCCTCAGCACTTTAACAAAGAATGAAAAGTAAGATAGAGTTTAGGATGGTAAGTCACAGAAGGAAATGGCCATCTGAAGCTAGTTAGTAAGCATGGGCTTAAAACCCTAATTGGCTCTATGATCCATACTATCTCAGAGATGGCTCTCTAATCCCACACTGTACTCACCAAGAAGTTTGCTGATAAAAGGCTGTGTTTTGAAAGGTTCAAAGTCATCTATATGTTCCCCTGTACCAATGAAAATAATTGGACTTTTTGTGGCAGCAACTCTATACAGAAAAGAAAAATAATAACCTCAAAAAAGAAAATAATTATCCAGAAGATTTTTCAAAGATAACAGACAAAAGGTAAAAAATTTAAATTTCCTTTTATTAGTTAGAACTATACGAGACAGGCTCCAAAATTCTATTCCTACTTAATTCTCTTTTACAGATCACATCAATTCATTACTAAAATCTTCTTAAAAACCAGAATAAGAAATTCATAAGTAGCACACATACACACGATTGTCGAGGCACAGAACAAATGATTTACAGGGCAGTAGGTTTAGCAACCACAACAGTGTGACTTCGACTGATACTCACGCACTGAGAGCACCACCTCCTTTTGCATGACCATCAAGTTTTGTCACTATTACTGAAGCTACATCTACTTTATCTTTAAAAGCCTTTGCCTGGGCTTCACAAGCCTGTCCAATAGACGCATCCATCACATAAACAATGTTATCCGGTTGCTAGAAAGAACAAATAAAAAGAGACTTGCTTTTACTGGTGTTAAGAAAAGGTTACATGAGTGTGTACAGAATGTTTACTATAAATATTATTTAATAAATCTGACTGAGGGAGCACCATGAATTAAGTAACATATAGGGCTGGATAAAGAGATAAGTAAAAAGACCTTTGAGCCCATGATATATAGAAAAAAATATGGTAGCATTTTAAAAATTATTCTGAGCTGAGACCTGAATAAAGAAGAAAAGTTGCCTGGAGGTGCTGGCACAGGCCTTTAAATTGGGAGGCAGAGGCAGGCAATCTCTGAGTTCAAGGTCAGGCTGGTCTACAGAGCCAGTTCTAGAATAGCCAGGGCTAGCTGGGGTCTGTTTCAAACACGAGAGGGGGGGAGGGAGGAAAGGAGAAAGAGAGAAAGAGAAATGAGGAGAACAAGAGGAAGAAAAAGGAGAGGAAGAATAGGAGGTGGTTATACAAACATCTTTATGAATGACACTGAAGGTAAATGAACTGTAAAAGTAAATCAGAACAAGAACAAAGCAGAAGGGTATATTCCGAAAACAATCAGTAACACACTGAGGCTATGTCCCTTAGATCTGCTCCCATTTGTCAAAATAAGAGTAGCACTAAAAAGACAAATTGGTACCAATCACTAACCAAAGAATTATTGACAACATTCCAATAGCCAAATATGAGTTAGTTTCTAAGGTATGCAACAGGTGTTGAACTACTTCTTACCCCTACATTATTTCCATAATTTTTTGTTTTAGTATGAAGGTTTGAGTAAGAATAGCCCCCAAAGCCTCATATATTTGGGAAGGATTAGGCGGAGTAGGCGTAGCCTTGTTGAAGTGCCAGGCCCAGATCTTCCGCTGCCTGCAGATCTGGATGTAGAATTCTCAGCTACTTCTCCAGTACCATATCTGCCTGTGTGCCACAATGTTCCCCACCATGGTAATATTGTAAGCCAGTCACAATTATGCTTTCTGTTATAAGAGTTGCCTTGGTCATGCTGTCTCTCTCATAGCAAAAAAAAACAGTGACTAATGTACAGGGTCTAGGCCTAAAGCTAGATAATGTTATCAGGCTGGCTTTGAACGCTGAGAGATCCATCTGTGCTCCTCAAGTACTAGGATAAAAAACAGGTGCCAGTACATCCAGCTCCATCTTTTAAGAGTATTAAAGAAGACATTAAATGACAATATTAAGGTTCATTTTGAAAAATTTTCAAAATTATTGTTTCTACTGAATTTAGGTAATGAGAAAAATCAACAAATATTTAAGGTTAATTCTGAATTTTTCATTATTATTTTTTCTATACTGAAGAACAAAAATGATGACATTAAGTCCTTAACACAGTTATAGGTCCCCAAAACAGAAATAATTACTTAATTTATTTCTTATAGGCAAGAAGTAGCTTATATTCACTAAAAACTCTATCAGATTTCATAGTTAAATTGACTGAAGTCCTTTAAATGGTGTTCCGTGGAAAGCTACTTACTATAGCATTAGAAACTTGAAGCATTTCTTCAAACAAAGAATCTTCTTGTTTGTGCCGACCACTTGTATCAACAATAATAATTTCAAAATTTTCATTTTTGAATTTCTCCACTCCTTCAGAAGCAATGATGACAGGATCCATTTCTGTATAGCTGTTAAACATGAAACAAATGACTTCAACAACACTAAAATGGGCAAACATCTAAATACTATTTACTTGAAAATTGTCAGTTTATTCTAATCTATTCTGAAAAAGTGAAAATATTGTATTTTCAATTTAGAAGAAAATCCTAGTAAGTAAAATCACAGAAGCCATTTTTTTGGCACAAGGCAACATTAAACTTTCCTACAAAAGTCTGCATAATTCTAATGCATGTTTTTTTCTGAATTGCTTCCTTAATGCTTTAATGTCCTCTTTAGTAAGAGAAGTCATGCTACAAAGCATATTATGCCTGTCTTTCCATTTAAGAACATTTTGATATCATTTTATGAAGTTATTAAATTGTATAGCACCCCATCAGATGATGACATCATCATTTACTATGTACATTGAGGTTGGTATGTTCATATTAAAAAGACAGGAAACAAAATAAATACTTCTAAAAACAGAGAAAGAGGGAGGAGGGAGGGAGGTAAGGAGGGAGGGAGGGAGGAAGGAAGGAAGGAAGGAAGGAAGGAAGGAAGGGGGAAGGGAATGGGAAGAAAGAACGAATGAACAAGGGCTAGAGAGATAGCATGGCACTTAAGAGCTCTGGTTGCTCTTCCAGAAAACCTGGATTCAGTTCCCAGTACCAAAAAGCAGGGTTCACAACCATGTTTTCCTCCAGTCCCTCTTCTAGACTGCAAGGGCACAGGGCAGGCACACATGTGGTACACAACAGGCATATATGCAAGCAAAACACCCACACACAGAATAAAAAAATTAAAGTAAAAATGACAGCTATTAGCATTACTAAACATTATGTAATCAATCAATTATTTATTTATTTATTTATTTAATTTTAGTTTTTTAAGACAGGGTTTCTCTGTAGTTTTGGAGCCTGTCCTGGAACTAGGTCTTGTAGACCAGGCTGTTCTTGAACTCTCAGAGATCCGCCTGCCTTTGCCTCATGAGTGCTGGGATTAAAGGCATGTGGACCACTGCCCGGCGCCTTTTTTGGTTTTTAAAGACAGGGTTTTTCTATGTAACAGCCCTGGTTGTCCTGAAACTTGCTTTGTACACCAGGCTAGCTCTGAACTCACAGAGATCTGCCTGTCTCTGCCTCCCAAGTGCTGGGATTAAAAGTACGTGCGGCCACTATGCCCGGCTATCACCTCAGATTAAAGCCATACAACTATAATTTGTAAAGGTATAAGGAAACATGATCAAAGATCTTTATAGAAAGGGACATTGAGCCAGGCGGTGGTGACGTATGCTTTTAATCCCAGCACTTGGGAGGCAAAGGCAGGTGGATCTCTGAGTTTGAGGCCAGCCTGGTCTGAGTTTCAGGACAGCAAAGGCTCGAAAAACCAAACAAAAAAGTAACAATAAGTACATATATACAGATAGTAGGTTACATTAAAAAACTGCAGTAATTATCATTCTAAAATTAAATTACTCTAACAAATGGTTATTATTATTTTTATTATAAGCATACCACTGTACTCAAGTTTTGTTGTATGTATTTACTTACTTCTATATCACAGGACAACCTGAAGAAACAGATGCTTTCTGCTATCAAGGCCCTGGAGATGGAACGCATGTACCAGTCTTGCTGACAGGCACATTACCTGCTGAGCCACCTCCTCAGTCCTCTCTGTAGTCGTTTGAATAAGGATTGGGTTTTTTGGGGGGAGGGGTATGTTGTTTTAATTTTTGCTTTTCTTTTTTTTTTTTTTGATGGAACTAGATATTAAATTCAGGGCCTTGTATATCGTATTGTGTATCATCCCATAAGCTACATGCACAGTTCCCATCTGATGAGTTTTGATACATTTATGCAATCCATACAACCACTGCTGTAGGAATCAAAGTACCAAGAAGTGTGCTGACTAATTTTACATCAACTTGACACAAGCTAGACTTATCTCAACTGAGAAAATGACTCCATAAGATCACTGGGCTGGCGGTCCTGGGTTCTGTGAGATAGCAGGATGAACAGTGAGCAGCACCCTTCACAACCTCAGCATCAGCTCCTGCTTCCAGGTTCCTGTCCTGACTTCCTTCAATAATCGACTACAACTTGGAAGTGTAAGTCAAATAAACCCTTTCCTCCGCAGGATGCTTTAGTTCATGGTGTTTCCTCATAGAAACAGTAACCCTAACTAAGCAGACTCATTATAATTTAAAATAATCTATCTTCCTATAAATATCTGTATGGAAATAATAATAAAAAGCATTAAAATTGCTAATTAGGTATGTTAATACATACTTCAAATTTTTAGTTCTTCAATAATATACTTATTTGCAGGTGTGTACACACACACACACACACAGATGTGCCACAGTACATATGTGTACACACACACCCATAGATGTGCCACAGTACATATGTGCACACACACAAACAGATGTGCCACAGTACATATGTGTACACACACACACACACCCATAGATGTGCCACAGTACATATGTGCACACACACACACCCTCACAGATGTGCCACAGTACATATGTGTACACACACAAACAGATGTGCCACAGTACATATGTGTACACACACACCCATAGATGTGCCACAGTACATATGTGCACACACACACACCCCCACAGATGTGCCACAGTACATATGTGTACACACACCCATAGATGTGCCACAGTACATATGTGCACACACACACAGATGTGCCACAGTACATATGTGTATACACACACGCATAGATGTGCCACAGTACATATGTGTACACACACACAGATGTGCCACAGTACATATGTGTACACACACCCCCCCCATAGATATGCCACAGTACATATGTGCACACACACACCCACAGATGTGCCACAGTACATGTGTACACACACCCATAGATGTGCCACAGTACATATGTGTACACACACACACACCCATAGATGTGCCACAGTACATATGTGTACACACACACACCCATAGATGTGCCACAGTACATATGTGTACACACACATAGATGTGCCACAGTACATATGTGTGTACACACACACACACCCATAGATGTGCCACAGTACATATGTGCACACACACACCCCCATAGATGTGCCACAGTACATATGTGTACACACACCCATAGATGTGCCACAGTACATATGTGTACACACACACACCCATAGATGTGCCACAGTACATATGTGCACACACACACCCATAGATGTGCCACAGTACATATGTGCACACACACACCCATAGATGTGCCACAGTACATATGTGCACACACACACACCTATAGATGTGCCACAGTACATATATGCACACACACACCCATAGATGTGCCACAGTACATATGTGTACACACACACACAAATAGATGTGCCACAGTACATATGTGCACACACACACACACCCATAGATGTGCCACAGTACATATGTGTGTACACACACACACATAGATGTGCCACAGTACATATGTGCACACACACACAGATGTGCCACAGTACATATGTGTACACACACACACCCATAGATGTGCCACAGTACATATGTGCACACACACACACACCCATAGATGTGCCACAGTACATGTGTACACACACACACATAGATGTGCCACAGTACATATGTGTACACACACACCCATAGATGTGCCACAGTACATATGTGCACACACACACACACCCATAGATGTGCCACAGTACATGTGTACACACACACCCATAGATGTGCCACAGTACATATGTGCACACACACACACCCATAGATGTGCCACAGTACATATGTGCACACACACACACCCATAGATGTGCCACAGTACATATGTGCACACACACACACACCTATAGATGTACCACAGTACATATGTGCACACACACACACCCATAGATGTGCCACAGTACATATGTGTACACACACCCCCCCATAGATGTGCCACAGTACATATGTGCACACACACCCATAGATGTGCCACAGTACATATGTGCACACACACACCCCCATAGATGTGCCACAGTACATATGCGTACACACACACACTCATAGATGTGCCACAGTACATATGTGTACACACACACCCACAGATGTGCCACAGTACATGTGTACACACACACACATAGGTGTGACACAGTACATATGTGTACACACACACAGATGTGCCACAGTACATATGTGCACACACACACACACATAGATGTGCCACAGTACATATGTGCACACACACACACACCCATAGATGTGCCACAGTACATATGTGCACACACACACACCCATAGATGTGCCACAGTACATATGTGCACACACACACACCTATAGATGTACCACAGTACATATGTGCACACACACACACCCATAGATGTGCCACAGTACATATGTGTACACACACCCCCCCATAGATGTGCCACAGTACATATGTGCACACACACACCCACAGATGTGCCACAGTACATATGTGTACACACACCCATAGATGTGCCACAGTACATATGTGTACACACACACACCCATAGATGTGCCACAGTACATATGTGTACACACACACACCCATAGATGTGCCACAGTACATATGTGCACACACACACCCCATAGATGTGCCACAGTACATATGTGTACACACACACACCCATAGATGTGCCACAGTACATATGTGTACACACACACACCCATAGATGTGCCACAGTACATATGTGTACACACACACACATAGATGTGCCACAGTACATATGTGTGTACACACACACACACCCATAGATGTGCCACAGTACATATGTGCACACACACCCATAGATGTGCCACAGTACATATGTGTACACACACACACACCCATAGATGTGCCACAGTACATATGTGTACACACACACACACACTCATAGATGTGCCACAGTACATGTGTACACACACACACATAGATGTGCCACAGTACATATGTGTACACACACACCCATAGATGTGCCACAGTACATATGTGCACACACACACAGATGTGCCACAGTACATATGTGCACACACACACACACCCATAGATGTGCCACAGTACATATGTGTACACACACACCCATAGATGTGCCACAGTACATATGTGCACACACATACACACCCATAGATGTGCCACAGTACATATGTGCACACACACACCCCCATAGATGCGCCACAGTACATATGTGCACACACACACACCCATAGATGTGCCACAGTACATATGTGCACACACACACACCCATAGATGTGCCACAGTACATATGTGGTCGTCTAGGAACACCTTCCAAAGGTGGTGTTCTCCTTCCACCATGCTTCTGGGAGTCACACTCAGGGTGTCAGGCCCCTACTATATGCTGTTAAATGATAAAGAATTTCAAGAATATATTCCCTAGCATATATTAATGAGGATGCTTCAGGTGTCTTAAATAAAAAAGAAAGGAAGCCATGTATGGTGGCACACACCTTGTGAGCTGAGACAGTCAGAGGCCAGCCAGGTCAGACTGGACTACAACTGAGACTGAGTTGCAAAAAGTCAAAAAAATAAAAATTAAAAAAAAAGTAACCTACCTTCCATAGAATGGAATTCTTGCTTTGGTGGCATTCTGTTTTAGCTGGTCAAACGCTCCTAAGAGATAAAGAGTTAATGAAGCCTCAAATATGACAATAAAAATTACAAGAAAAAAAAAAAAAAGGAAGCGAAAAATTGAATTTCAAAACACTACCTGCTCTGAATGTATCTGCACATATCAAACAAGTCTTCCAACCTTTTCTCTGGTAATAATATGCTAACTGGGAAAGGAAGATGAAAAATAAAGCATCAAAAAAACAAATCATTGTATATAAAACTTCTTTTGTTTAATTTTAATTTATCCAAGTAGTAAAGTAAACTTGCTCATAATCCTCTGGAATGTAGTATTAAATATTCTGAGGTGCAGCGAAAGTTCTGAAGAGTTTAAATTCTACGTCTCACTCAGTGAGCCTAAGATGGGAAAGCAGCAACAGTCACTGTGAGACAGCCATCACCCCTGCCCTCAAACTGTAACATGGCTAAAGCTTGTTGGGGAGAGAAAGTAATCTAGCAACCAAGTTGGGAAACCCAGACATAGGAGAGGGTCAATGAATGGAAAATTAACATAAGGATATGTAAGATAAAAGGCTGTATCAACACAGTGGGACACTCAAAGGGGAATTTTGTATCTAAGAAGAAAGTAAATTCCCTTGCTTTCTTCAATTAAAAAAAATTATTGTGTGCACGCGAGCTCCCCTCCTCCACCCCTCTCTCTTTCACCGTGTGGCTGTGGAAGGCCTGGAAGGAACTAGAGAACAGGCTGCCCTCCACCTGCCTCTTCCTCTATTACACCTGGACAAACTGACAGTCTTTCTTTCTGTTTTGTTTTTGTTTTTTTGTTTTGTTTTGTTTTTCAAGAGAGGGTTTCTCTGTTTAACAGCCCTGTCCATCCTGGAATTTGCTCCATAGACCAGATTAGCCTCGAACTCAGAGACCCGCCTGCCTCTGCCTCCAGAGTGCTGGGATTAAAAGAATGTGCCACCACCCAGCCACACTTACATTCTTTAAGGACAGGAATTTTCTTTTCTTTTTCAAAAGAAAGCAAAATTAACATTCTGTTTCACAGTTTGAGAGGGTCTCCTATAGCTAAGGCTGACCTCAAACTCATCGTGTAGCTGAGGATGACCTTGAATTCCAGATCCTCCCACCTCCACCTGGGTTAGAAGTCTAACATTCTGACAAATATCACAGAAGACTATAGAACTCCACTTTATGCCCTCCAAAAATATTACAAAAGCAGAGAAGATACATAGAGTAACAAAATAAAACAACAATATATAGCTTATCCTTAAAACAAAACTTCATCCGACTGTATCCTCCGTATGTCATTTCTCAGGTGTATTTACCTTCGAGCACGTTGTTGTTTTACCACTCCCTTGCAATCCAACAAACATGATGACATTCTGCTTTCCTTTAGTCGGTGTCCATGCTTTAACTCCAGGGTCTACAAGCTATAAACCAAAAACAAAAATGTCGGACCAACATGCCAGGCAAAATCCCACACATTAAATTATAAACATTAAGCTAAGGATGTTTTTATTTTATTGAAACCACCATAATACCAACATTCTTAGGCAATTCTACGAGTCCCCAGCATGCAGACTGAAATCTAAGAGTTTTACAAAATATTGCAGTGCTGAAGTCATACTCAGGCCTTTCATATCAGAGCAACTAGAGATAAGAAGCTCATCTGCATCATATATCTGTAACACAACACAAATGCCAAACAAATGCACCTGTACAACAGGTAAAGATGATTATCAAACTTGACAACTGACTTTAATCCCCAGGATGGAGGGAAACAGCCAACTCCCTTAAGTTGTTGAACATGATACAATAGTTGCCAGACGGACAGACAGACAAACAGACACACACACACACACACACACACACACACAAATAAGTGTAGTTTTAAAAATTTCTCATAATATATAAAAAAATTTATTATTTAGCCTCTATACATTTTTATTATCCAAACATTATCATTTCAGCATGCAATCTATATGAGATTTTGTATTTTCTTTTCTCATAGACCAGATCTTCAAATTCAGCCAGTTTATACATTTTGTAAATGTTTCTTTAAGGACTTATTCATTTATTATGTATACAGTGCTCTGCCTGCCTGCATGCCTGCACACCAGAAGAGGGTACCAGATCTTATGATAGATGATTGTGAGATACCATGTGGTGGCTGAGAATTGAACTCAGGACCTCTGGAAGAACAGCCAGTGCTCTTAACCTCTCAGCCGTATCTCTCCAGCCCCCTTGTCTTTCCTTTTTTTTTAAAAAAAAAAAAAAAAAAAAAAAGGCGCTTGGAGGTGGTGGCTTACACTTTTAATCCCAGCACTCGGGAGGGCAGAGAGAGGAGAATTTGTGAATTCGAGGCCAGCCTTGTCTACAGGCTGAGTTCCAGGACAGCCAGGGCAACATAGAAAACCCTGTCTCCAACAACCTCCCCCAAAAGAAAATGTTTAATTAAATGAAAAGCTAATTCTGGTAGTAGGGATGGAACCTAGGGCTTCATATAGCAAGGCGGGCACTCTGCCATTGATGTTTATCACCATCTCCCTCTTAGTATGTATTTTCTGCTCAAATAACTTTATAATTCATTCTAGACACATTACAAGTGCTCAATAACCATGTGTCTAGGGGCTTCCATACTGGTAATCATCTTCAATTTGATAAACGTATATAAGAAGCAAAATAATAAATGGCACATGAAGATACCTTCTAATTCAAATATTAAAAGTTTCCAATGCCAAAAGATCTAAAGAAAGCAAGGGAGAAAAACAGAATTTTACAACAATGGGTTAGTAAGAAAGAGTCACACAGGAACAGTACCCAAACAAATACAAGGCTTATCTTCTGTTTCATTTTTGAGAATCTCATGTTACCTAGCTTGGTCTTGAACTCACTAGGTAGCTGAGGCTAGCCAAAAATTTCTGGTCCCTGAATTATTATGTCATTATTATTAGTACTACTGTTACAGACATGTGCTACTATGCTTTCTAAGTATAAGGCATTCTAAACATTTGTTCAAAAACAGTTCAAATTTAAATACATTGGGAGCCTGAAATACTTATTTGCACATGATAACTCTATAATCATTGTTAATATTCTCGGTCAGATGTTTACAAAATAAACCATCATCATTATTACCATTATTATTTGTCTTAGACAAGCTCTCATTCTGTAACCTAGACTGATTTGAAACCCAGGGTGCCCTAGAACTCCTGCTACAGTGCCTCAGTGCTAGGATTACAGGGTGAACTGCCAACCCTGGTGTAAATAAACCTTTAGTGGAAGACAGCTATGGCCATTCATTTACTACCTTTGCATTCCAAAAGCAGAGTTGAAGAGCTGCCATAGAGACTACGTGGTTCAGGATATCTAAACCCTTGAGGAAGTCTGCCACGCTCATCTAGACGACACCATCAAGGTATCATACATGAGTTTCAGGGAAGACTGGTAAAGAGAAGGGAAAACAAATCAAAACACTTTCTTATCCCTTTTCCAAACATGTTAACAACTTTGGAAAATTTCTAAAATGGGCAAAATCTGTCTTAAAACAAATACACTTTCCTTTCTCCTATATCTTTTCAGTATAGAAGGCTGCCCTGCATTCACCTCTATTCTATATACCTCATGGCAGAATAACTCAGCTGTCTATTATTACTGGACAGTTTAAAAATCTATCTTTCCCTCCTCCTACACTCTGAAATGAGTCTCCAACCTTCTAGTATGAAAATTCCTTTAACACCTCATTTGAAAGGGTAGCTGCAATGTGTACTCTGAAGCCATATAAACCCCAGGTCTGCTGTACTAGAACTGACACTACTTACTCAGCATAGATATTACCTATCCTAGTGCATGATTCTCAAACACCATGAATTTTGTCACTTTAAACACTAGTTTATTGAGTTATGTAAATCTCACATTATTATTCAGTAATGAAGTGAATCAAGCATTAAAAATATTGACTTTTCTGCTGGGTGGTGATAGCACTTGCCTTTAATCCCAGTACTTGGGAGGAAGAGGCAGGCAGATCTCTGTGAGTTCAAGGCCAGCCTGGTCTACAGAGGGAGTTCCATGACAGACAAGGCTGTCTGACAAGAAACTCTGTCTCAAAAAGAGGGGGTGGGGGGCGGGGGAGGTGCTGAGATATGGCTCAGTGGCTAAGAGCACTGGCTGTTCTTCCAGAGGTCCTGAGTTCAGTTCCCAGCAATCACTTGGTGAGTCACAGCCATATATATGAGATCTGGTATCCTCTTCTGACCTGCAGGTATACACGCAGGCAGAACACTATATACATAATAAATAAATGAAATAAATAAAAAATAAAGAATAAAAAAATCAGTGCTAATTTTATCAGGAAAAAAAGCATCAGGATTCTTTCAAATTCATGTTAGAGTTATAGCTTCTTTTTTTTTTTTGTATGGTGTTAGAGATTCAAACTAGGGTCCCCTAGTTCATATATTTTCACAGATAATTTCATCTTGAATTTTATCACCAGCTGCAATATTGTCAGTTATTTTCCTTAAAGTGACAAGTTCATTTCACTTTGGGAAATAATTCTGCCAAACTAAATCCAGGTCAGAATAACCAGATTATATGCCTATTTCTCATTCACACAAAATGGTGCTCTATGCAAGCAGAACTTTAGTTTGCAACTGAGCTTTAAGAGGATTTGAGAGTAAAGCACCGAACTTTACATACACTTCCCACTTCATCCACAGCACCTTAAATAGATATACACATAATCAATAGTCACAATTTAACACAATTATCTACTGCTTTGGGAAGGATTTCCTTAAGTGAAAGCTGGCATTTTAAGTGCTTACTGGTGAAGTGTACAGTCACTAATAATCCAGTCTGGCTGGTATTACTGTCTTTTTGTTTATTGTTTGTGACAGTCTCAATATGTGGCCTGACTGGACTCAAATTCATAGAGATTCACCTGCCTCTGCCTTCCTGTTTTATTTAAAAATTATTCAGTAAAAATAGACATCTGAGCGATCTGCCATGATGTCTAAAGAATGGAAGAAAATGTAGAGAAGAGTCCCTCTGCTCAACAGATCTAGGGAGGAAGTAATGGGATTAAGGGCATGTGCCACCATGATTAGCTGGTGTTACTGTCTTGATTCACAACAGCAAGCTGTCATGTTGCAGAATATCCAATCATACCACGAACCCCAAGATTGTGTTATTTACTGGAAAACCTGTTTCTAACTGTGGCATAGCTCAGCTCTAGCACACACCTTTTCTGTTTGAATATTGTAAACAGGATTTAAAAAAGTCAACCATAGGTCAAGAGGCGGAACAAGCAACCAGCAGACAAGTGAACACAGAATTGTTAAGAAGAAAACCATAGCGAATAGGAGGGGTGTCAGGAGGACTAAGAGCAAGAGACGCACAGAAAGTAGAAGGGAGGAACATGCAGCTTGAGATGCTGCAGGAAAAAAGAGGTGGTTTCTGGAAAGTTGGCTGAAGAACGTAAGCTGGGCACTTTCTCTGCCTCTCTGAGCTAGCAGGCTTACACTCCAGCATCTAGCTCCCAAGTCTTTACTGGTTAAATCAAACAACAGTCAGGCTGTACAAATGCGGCAAAGAGCGGAAGCTAGAGGCATAGCTCGATGACACAGCATGTGTTTAACGTGTTTAACATGTGCGAGTTTCTAAATTCAATCCCCAGCAGGTCACACTGGAGTAAATAATGCTTTAGTATTACTATCAAACAGTTTTAACTTTGCTTACATAAATATTGCTCTAGGCCATAAGCTTCTCTGAGATAAGAACCAGTGTGATCTCTGCTGTCCACCTGGCATACTACCTAGAATAAAAAAGCTACAACAAATGCTTCCCAATTTAGTTCTTGATGCTCCAGAGTTGAGGATAATTCTTACAAAGGACTCAACTTCGTTTCCCAGCACCTACATTAGGTAACTCACAACCACTTGTAACTCCAGCTCCAGGGAAATCCAAAGCCTGTGACACATGCAGGCACTAGAAATCACATGCTCATATCCACAGACAAACACACACATTTGTACAAAAACATTTTTTCAAACAATTTTTATCTATTTTGCTTTTTATTAATTTTTTTGTTTTGTTTTTTTTTTTCAAAACAGGGTATCTCTGCATAGCTCTAGCAATTCTGGAACTTATCTATAGACTAGGTTGGCCACAACCTCAGAGATCCGCCTGCCTCTGCCATTCAAGGCTGAGATTAAAGATGTGTGCCACCACCTCCCGGCTCTTGCTATTAGTTTTTTATATTATTCATTTTATGTGTGTTTTGTCTGCATGTATGTATGTACCATGTGGTGCCTGTGGTGGCCAGAGGAAAGCATCAGATCCCCTGGAGTTGTGAACCATGTGGATGGCAGGAACTGAACCCGGGTTCTCTGAAAAAGTACAAGTGCTCTTAACTGCTGAGCTATCTTGCCAGGCTCACACACAAATATTTTTTAAAATAGCCCATTTTCAGAAAAGTTAAAAAGCTCTCCCATTTATTTTCCTTCTGACATTGTTTTTTCTGTGTGTGTGTGTATGTGTCTGTGCTCGTGTCTCATGACACACATGTGAAAGCCAGGGAACAGCTAGAGGGGTCGGTTCTCTTCCACCACACAGGATCAAAGTCAGGAACAGCTAGAGGGGTCGGTTCTCTCCTTCCACCACACATGTGAAAGTCAGGAACAGCTAGAGGGGTCGGTTCTCTCCTTCCACCACACATGTGAAAGTCAGGAACAGCTAGAGGGGTCGGTTCTCTCCTTCCACCACACAGGATCAAAGTCAGGGAACAGCTAGAGGGGTCGGTTCTCTCCTTCCACCACACATGTGAAAGCCAGGAACAGCTAGAGGGGTCGGTTCTCTCCTTCCACCACACAGGATCAAAGTCAGGGAACAGCTAGAGGGGTCGGTTCTCTCCTTCCACCACACATGTGAAAGCCAGGAACAGCTAGAGGGGTCGGTTCTCTCCTTCCACCACACAGGATCAAAGTCAGGGAACAGCTAGAGGGGTCGGTTCTCTCCTTCCACCACACAGGATCAAAGTTAGGAACAACTAGAGGGGTCGGTTCTCTCCTTCCACCACACAGGATCAAATTTAGGCTGTTAAGCCTTAGCAGGAGACACCTTCAACAGAAAAGCATCTTGCCGGTTCAAATTTATATTTCCATACAGATGAACTGTCCATAAGATATATTAGAAGGGACTCAAAAGCCATGCTCATTTAAAATCCTATAAAATTTTATTCATTGAGTTGATAGTCTCATAATTTTCAAACATTTTTACCTTTACAAGTTCTTTAAATACAGCATGCTGAATCATTTTTCTTTTGTTCAGACCAGATGCCATTTCTTCAAGATCAATTGCAGACCTTCATAAGTGACAAGTGGGGTAAGAAGAAGAAAAGTCAGTTAAGATAATCTGAAAGTATTTCTATCCCATAGAATATAAAGGTATTCAATCATTCAAATTAATAGTCTAATTAGCATTCACATAATTATTATAAATTCATAAGATTATAACACAAAAAGCTGTACCATAAAATACTAGATGTAAAACTCTGGTTAGTTTTAAAGGCTTTCAGAGCCGGGCGGTGGTGGCACATGCCTTTAATCCCAGCACTTGGGAGGCAGAGGCAGGCGGATCTCTGTGAGTTCGAGGCCAGCCTGGTCTACAAGAGCTAGTTCCAGGACAGGCTCCAAAACCACAGAGAAACCCTGTCTCGAAAAAACAAAAAAAAAAAAAGCTTTCAGTTCAATGCATAAATACTAATTTCTCTGGTTATAACTATAAAATATTAATGTATTATTCTTGAAGCTTGTAAATTTTATACAGAGAATCACACTGACTTTCTAGTTCTAAATTCTTAAATGCTAGTAGTTCTGTATCTTCTCCCACACTATCAGTTTAGAAAGAAGGAATGCTAGGATTAGGATTCAAGAAATTAATAGAGGGCCTATATGGTTCTTATGCCTTCCCCAATGGATACAGTAACAAAGACCACACAGTACTCCTTCAAACAGGAACAGAGAAATGGAGGACAAAGAATATAATTCTTCACTCACGAAGAAGGCTACTCATTCAATCTTACCACAACTGCATGAAGAAACCGAACTGTTAAAAAGCTCTTACAATAAAATCATATCCTAACCATAATAAATGACTGAACCCACTCAAATAAAGACGACAGAAGAAAATCTGCAATGCGATGAAGTTATCCTTGGCATGTTCACCATCATTATGGAGATATACAGTCCTTCTTCTCTTCCCTCCATCTAAATCTTCCCGTCACAGCTGACCCGAGACTCACTATATAACCAAGGCTAGCCTTGAACTCATGGAATTTCTTTTGTCTCAGTCTCCCAGGCATGAGCCATCTCCACAGGCAGTTTTTTGACACAGTTCTAAATCGTTCCAGTGCCATACAGAAGTATTTCATAATAAAGCAAACTTTCCTAATTACCTCCTCAATCCCAGTAAACCAAACTTAGTTTTTACACAATTAATTCAACTTACTTAACATTTTCTCTTAATTGCTTCACTAGTTTAATATTAACATCTGCTTCCAATAATGCTGTACATACTTCTTTTAGCATAGCATTTAATACCTGAAAATAAATAAAATTGAAATATGCTTAATGTTTTACTTCAGCAACATAAAAAGCTGATCACGTATCATGCACTAGTTAATAAAGACATAGCAATACTACTGGAGAAGAAATAAGATTTTCCATTACCTTTAGAGAAAAATTATTATTAAATATCTGCTCATTCTATCAAAATAAGGCACGGCATTTAGTTTTACACAGGTATTAATAACCAAGTATTGATCATCACAATTTTGTTCTTATTAAAGCATTAGTAATAAAAAAACAATACCAAAGGAACAACAGATATTGCCCACAGTGTTTCCTAAATCACTGAAGAATTTTGATACCTATATTTGCAGCATATGCTTTTCCTAATTGGAGCAGTATGGAAAACAGAAGGCAACTCCTAGTCTTTCAATTCCTATATATCAAGAGGAATAAAGTAGAAAAGGGGTCTATTTTCCACTGAAAATTCCCTATCACAAGAGTGTGGAGATGCAGGCACTGTGATTAGAAGGTCATGAACTATAAGCACTGTGAGAAAAAATAAAGCTTCAGCTGCTCACACAAACAGGAACATGCACAGTAGAAAATAAGCTGCATAAGAGGAAGAATTTCTGTCTGTTTTGCTCACTGCTTGACCTTTGTGCCAGCAAAATGCCTGTAAATACAGGTCTTCAAATAGAACTGTCCTTCGTATGCCCTCCAGAGACCTATGAGGGTTCTCCAGCCCTCATCAAGGGGTACTGTCTAGAATTGATTGTCCACCAGAGAGATGGTCTGGTTAATTTGCTAGTGGAACACTAAGGCTAGAAAACCTGTCAACTCAGAAATGGTTGTTCCACTTCCACCAAGTACTTCACACACTGACTTACCCAGTCCCCCAGCCCTCTGAGACAGTGTCTCACTATAAAGCCATGGCTGGCCTTGAACTTCTCTATCCTCTTTCCTCTACTTTCTAAGTGTTGGGACTAGAAGCATGTGTCATCACTCCTGACTTCCTTTGTCTCTATTTTTTTGGGGGGAAGTGTGTGGAAAGATGGGAATGCTTTAAAAAAAAGTCTCGGGACTGGAGAGATGGCTCAGCGGTTAAGAGCACTGGTTCTTCTTCCAGAGGTCCTGAGTTCAATTCCCAGCAACCACATGGCGGCTCATAGCTATCTATAATTAGATCAGGTGCCCTCTTCTGGTGTGTAGACCTACATGAAAACAGAATGTTGTATGCATAATAAATAAGCTTATCTTGAACTCATAAACTGAGATCCTCCTGTCTCAACTTTCTGTGCACCAAATGTAGGATTTGTCATCTTTCTCAGTCCTGTTTCTCTACCAGAATAAGAATAAAGGCTATAGAACATTAAACATTGCTCAAAAAGCTGTTGTTTTAGTTAGTGTGGGTTATAAGACTAAGCAACAATTTAAGTTGTGATTTAAGTTCTGACTATCAAGGTGAAACAATGGCAGGAGAGAGGGCTCAGTGGCCAAGAGCACCTGCTGCTCCTCTAGAAGACCCCAGTCTGAGTCCTAGCACGTGGAGCAGCTCTCGAGCTCCGATACTTAAACTTTCCCTGCACACCTGCACTGGTGCGCACATAACCTCATACAGACATACACATAGTTAAAATAAAAAATTTAAGTTTAAAAAAAAAAAGTGAAGCCAGGTTGGTGGTGGAGGACAACTTTAATGGGAGGCAGAGTTAGGCAGATCTCTGAGGTCAAGGCCAGCCTAGTCTACAAGAGCTAGTTTCAGGACAGCTAGGACCGTGACACAGAGACACCCTGTCTCGGGGCAGGTGTGTGTGTGTGTGTGTGTGTGTGTGTGTGTTTGTGTGTGTGTGTGTGTGAAATAACAGGGTAAATTACTTTTCAGTGAAAGGCACTTCTTACTGTTATAATATTTACAGTATTACATCTACGTCAAATTAAATCACAACTCTAAAGATCATTATTTAGTCCCGCTCTCCCATCCTAGTAACATGGCACACAAATGTATTACACTGTATTTTCATACCTCTTCATTGATAATGGTGGCATTGCTCAATGAGCGTAATGCTGATGTTATTTTTCTTCCAAGATCTGCTAGAACCATCTTGAAGGTTTTAAGATGTACTTAAGAGAACTCTAGAAAGGAAAGAAAACATAAATTGAAAACCATTTCACATTAAGTCCTAACTGAAGAAAAAGAATACTTAAATTCAAATTAAAGTACTCAAAATTTAAATACTGTTATTTATACGCTTCTATAACCTCAACCTGCAACTTTAATACATGCATATCTGAAAGATAAAACGTCTACTTGATTATGATGCTTTACATTTAAATATCTAGAGAATCTTATACATAAATCGTCAGATTTAAAATGTCAATAAGCCAGGCAGTGGTGGCACATGGCTTTAATCCTAGCACTTGGAAGACAGAGGCAGGAGGATCTCTGTGAGTTCAAGGCCAGCCTGGTCTACAAGAGCTAGTTCCAGGACAGGCTCCAAAGCTACAGAGAAACCCTGTCTCTAAAAAATAAAATAAAATAAATAAAAGATAACACATCAAATAACATCTGCTGAGGCAATAACAATATGATCTTTAATAACTGTGTTTTCTTTTGGCACATGCTCTTGAGTATGAGTAACTGAATGCTACACCATGTCCACTGTAGATAACAGGGGAAGCAAACTCTCCAGAAATGGTGCTGAATTTCCACCTCAAGGACTCTGAGCTATTTTGAATTTGACTTTTAAGTAGAAAGAAAAAGCAAAAGGAAAACTTAACCTTAATTCATAAATTGCTTAACTCTTCTAGCCCCAAACAAATCAATCGCTGAGTCATTAACTACACTGACAGTCACCTGCTAAATAATTCCTTTAATCCCAGCACTTGGGACTCAGAAATAGACCTCTTTGAGTTAGAAGCCAGTCGGTTCTACAGAGAGTTCCAGACCAGCTGAGGCTATATAATGAGACCCTGTCTCAAAAATAAAAATAACAATACTTCATTTTAATACTTCTAACCACCAAGGAAATAATTACTCTTCCCATTCTAAAGTGATTTCCTGATCTCTTTTTTCTCTGAGACAGGGTTTCTCTGTGTAACTCTGGCTGTTCGGAACTCGCTCTGTAGGTCAGGCTGGCCTCTTGCTCCCAAGTACTAGGATTAAAGATGTGTGTCACCACTGTCCAGCTGATTTCCTGAGTTCTTTTTTTTTTTTTTTTTTTTTTGGTTTTTCGAGACAGGGTTTCTCTGTGGTTTTGGAGCCTGTCCTGGAACTAGCTCTTGTAGACCAGGCTGGCCTCGAACTCACAGAGATCCGCCTGCCTCTGCCTCCCGAGTGCCGGGATTAAAGGCGTGCGCCACCACCGCCCGGCCGATTTCCTGAGTTCTTAACTCCAAAATACAGTAACCTCAAAATTCCTTTCCCTTAAGCCAGGCAGGAGGTACACTTCTGAAATCCTAGCACTTGAAAACACGGGAGCAGGAGATGGAGGGCAGAGTGGGTTACATGAGAAACTCTAAAACAAAAACAGAATAAAGGTATAGTTTTATAAAAGAATACAGATAGATATAAAAGTATACAGACTGCTTCACATAAGGATGATAGAACTCACAGAAGTAAGTAAATATGAATACTGCCAGCCCCAAACAAGCTTTAGTTACTAGCTAGTAAGGCAAGGTCCATGAATGAACAGCAAAATAAATGCCAAAACAAATTCCTCTTCCTGACTATGAAGTAGAACCCAGTTCCTGCATCTTTGGTTTGCAGCCTGTCATGCTAGTCTTTGGACTGCAACTACAGCATTGGCTTCAACTTGTCGAACTTTAGACTTGTCAGCCTCTGTAATTTGTCTGAGCTAATTCCTACAATTCCTGAATATGGGCAGGCTAAATAGGTAGGAAAGCCGGCAAAAGGGAATTTGATAGCTGTGAAATGGAAAGAGCAGAAATACAAACATGGGATAGCCATAGGGGTGGTGGGTGACAAGGTATCCTAGTCAAGAGAGTGCCATACAGTTTTTAAAGGCTTTGGAAACAGTCCATAAACAATATTGGCCAAAAGATAACTGTTTAAAATAATTATTTTGGCAGTCTTTTGGAGATTTCTAGACTTGATTCCATTTGGCGGGGTTTACAAGATACTAAAAATAAGACAAAAAACAAAACAAAACTGGGCATAGTGGTGCACGTCTTTAATCCCAGCACTCCAGAGGTAAAGGCTCTGTGAGTTCAAGGCCAGCCTGTCTATGTAGAGAGTTTCAGGAAGGCAGGGCTAGAGAGACCCAATCTCAAAAAGAGAGACAGAGAGAGAGAGAAGAGGGGAGGGAAGGGAAGAGGAATGGAGGAAAAGAGAAAAAAGAAAAATAGACTGGAGAGATGGTTCAGCAGTTAAAACTTATTGCTCTTCTGGAAGACTTGATTCCTCGTTCACACCTAAAGCCAGTTCCAAGGGAGTCAGGTGCCCTCCTGTGACTCCCACACACCTGTGCTCACACAAATGGCAAACATTTACACAGATTCATACACATAAATAATAAAAATAAATCCTTTAAAAAAAATAAGGGGCTAAAGATAAGGCATTGACCACTATTCCGGGTTCAGTTCCCAGCACCCACATGGCAGCTGACAACACAGCTCACAACTGCCTGTAACTCCAGTGCTAGGGAATCTTCTGGTCCCCTCTTCCACCACCAGGCATGCATGTGGTACACCGACATACATGTAAGCAAAAAACTCCACAAACATAAAAAAATGAAATAAAAAGGTTAATTCAAAAGGAAAACAGTAAGAAAAGAGCTAATGTATCTGCCAGAGGGAGATTTAAGAGACTGAACTTAGGTGAGTTAAACATACAGGAAAAGAAAATGAATTCAGGATCTATTACAGAAAGGAAATATCTCAGGCTAATTAGAAAACATTACATTCAAACTCAAGCAAAATTACGTAATTTAAAAATTAAAAATAATGACTATTTCCAGGAGTGGTGGTACACACCTTTAATCCCAGCATTTGGGAGGCAGAGGCGGAGGATTTCTGTGAGTTCGAGGCCAGCCTGGTCTACCAGAGCTGGTTCCAGGACCGACTCCAAAGCTACAGAGAAACCCTGTCTCGAAAAACCAAAAATGAATAAATAAATATTAAAGCTGGACATGGTGGTATAGTCAGTCCTTTAATCCACAGAAGAGACAGGGGTAGACAGATCTCTGAACTGGAGGTCAGCCAGGGTGATACAGTGAAACCCTGTCTTAAAAAAAATTAAAAATTTAAATTAAAATTTTTAAATTATTGCTGGCATGATGAAAATGAGAAGTTTTGCTTACCTTGAGCAAAGGTTCTTGTTTTTTTAAGTTACATGGTTGTCTAACCTCAAAGAGCAACTACTTCATGGAAAAGATTCAAGATTTATTTCTTATCCCATATCCAATAAACTGAGTCAATTCATGGAAGAAGTGGGATGCTTCTACTCGTCACCTTTCATCACTGCTATCAGTAGTGACTCGTCCTATCTGTGTCACCACAATGAACTTAAGGTGACATCATAAAAAGAACATCCTCCATCTTAAAAAGTTAGAATCTAGGGGCTGGAGAGGTGGCTTACAGGTTAAGAACACTAGCTCCTGCAGACATTCTGGGTTTAATTCCCAGCACTCACTCGGTAGTCTACAACTCATCTGAAGATCTGGAGCTGTAAGCCTTAGATGAGCAAGAACATGTGATGTTTGGGACTGGGGCTGTAACTAAACCTGAGGCCCACCATTTTGGCCCTCTCACTGCTGGTGTGCAGGCGCACACAGCTTTCACGTGGGTACCGGGGATTTAAACTCAGATCCTCAAGTTCGCATAGCACATGCTCTTAGGCATTGAGCCATTTCCCAGACACCTCATTATCATTTAAAGTTGTATTTATTTTCAGAGCAAGCATGGATTTATTAAGGAAATCTGAGGAAAACTCCAGAGGATGGATGGGGCTCTGGGGGATGGAATACCCTTCTCTTTTAAAACAGAGCCTGTTCTGTAGCCCAGGTTGACCCTTTGCCTAGGTCTCTTCTAAATGCTGGTGTTACAGGCTGCATTATCATGCCTAGCCTAACTGAAGTCCTCTCTACTTTTTCTTGCATTAGCCTATGAAGTTGGTGGGAGAGAGAGCTCACATGGAAAAGTGCTTGCTACGCAATCATGAGGACTTGAGTCCAAACCTTTTTTCATATCTTAAAACTCTTGGTAAAAATATAGTCAAGAATCAAGAGTAATTGAGATTTTGTTTAATCATGTCCAGCAACAATATTTTGATTTACTAAAGTTGTCTAAAGAATCTAGGTAGACAGCTCAGCCACTGAAGTGCCTTTTTATACACAAAGACCTGGATTTAATTCCAGGAACCCACATAAAATAGCCAGGCGTGGTTTACACATACACACAATCTCAGTGCTGGGGATGTGGAAACAGGCAGAACTCAGGGGCTTCCAGCCAGATTATCCTACTTGGCCAGTGCCAGGCCAGCAAGAGACCCTATCTCAAAAAACAAGGTGGACACAGCCTAAAGTGTGCAGAAACCAGGAAAGGGAAAAGGGCTCACTGTGGGGTGGGGAAGGAGTAGAGACAGGGTAAAAGTGATCAGAGGGCAGGGGAGAGGAAAAATAGGACAGGATTCTAATTAGGTAGAGGAGGGGGATAAATACAGAGGACAGACAGGAGTGTAGTGATATTTTGTTTGTAATCTAACAAATAAAGTTGCCTGAAGATCAGAGGGCAGAGCTAAGACATAGAGGTCAGGCAGGGTGGTGTGTACCTTTAAACCCAGCCAGAGGAACTCTGTGAGTTCAAGGCCACCCAGGGCTACATAAAAACAATCCAGTCTAAAAGAGAAACAGCCAGGCAGTGGTGGCTCACACCTTAATTCCAGTACTTGGCATTCATATGCCTTTAATGACAGAATTTAGGGAGGTGGAGACAGGAGTGATATGGCTGGGTGGAGAGAGGAATATAAGGCGGGAAGAGACAGGAGCTCAGATGTAGTCTGAGTGTGCAGTCTGAAGATTCGGTAGAGGTAAAAGGCTGGCTGCACTGTTTCTCTGGTCTCAGCTTTCACCACCTAATATCTGACTCCAGGTTTTTATTATTAAGACCAATCAGAATTCGAACTACACAGGAGGGTAAAACAACCAAAATAAGGGTGCTTGAAAGAAGTCATACTATTAACACTCTACCTAAAAACAAAAGAAAAAAACTACAATATAATTAAGTCTACATGAAGGGCTATTGCTATCGCCCTTGGTTGCTCCCCCGCCGCTCCAGAAGCAGAAAGCAAGTCCCTATTAATGAAAACACTACATAGTTCAGACACAGGGCCCAAAGACCTCGGAGCAGAAATCTCCCTCCCCGAAGACTAGCTTTTTTGGTAGCAGAGGGCTCCATGCAAGCTTCAAAAGGAGGGAAGCGACCAGCGGTCCTACCCAGCTATGACTGTATCAAGCAGAGCAACTGGAATGGTACAACGATACAGCAAGGGTGCAGTAGTGGCACACATACCCTGCAGTAACCAACAGCTTTCAGCTGGCCTCAACTTTACACAGCAATTATAGGAAACTAAGGAATGCTCAGAGTAGGAGAAACAGCCTTCCTCATGGACGAACACACCAACTGGTTATCTGAAACCAAATGGTCAGCCCTGAAAACCTACATACAAGTCATATATAGACTGAGAAGGGTGTATTTGTATTTATGTATTTAGAAATACATACATACATGTATGTAACAACAGTTAATAAAAAACCATGAATTTTAAAGTGAGCAAGGGTATATAGGAGGGTTTATTGGGAAGAAAGGGAAGGGGAAAATTAAAAAATTATATTATAATCTCAAAAATTAAAAAATAACTTTAAAAAGATTTTACAATAAAAAGAAAAAAAGACCTGTTAGGTAGGAGTTAGGCAAGAAGGAACATATCCAACATTCTCCTCTAGTTTCTTCTTCAGACCTGCAGACACATATACAAATGCTCAAACACATAAACATATACCTCCCTCCCTTCCCCATACCACACCCAATAAACAACGAGAATAGTAACTAACAAAAACAAAAGGGTGAGTATAGCAGTGCACAGCTTTTATTTTGGATGGGAGACTCCTAGAAGACCTTGGTGATCTACATGTGTGGTCTAAATAACAAGTACTAGGCCAGCCAGGGCTACACAGTAAGATCCTGTGAAAAAAAGAAAAAGGAAAAGGGGGGCAGGTAAGAAAGGAAAAGAAAAGAGGAAAAAAAAAACCCTACAAGAACAAAATACTGCCAAAAGGAAAACTGAAAACAAAAACTGCAAAAACAAAACAAAACACAAAAAACCTTGGAAATAGTTGTCGCTTTTGAAACTGAAGAAAGCACTGATGGGGCAAAAAGGAAAAGGGGAGGGAGGCACAGCACAAGTAAGGTTACAGTGGTTACATTTCTACAACGCCTATCAGCTCAAAATAAAATCCTCAGGCAGAGTCTCCAGGAAAAATATAATAAAATGTTTTAGAGAAGTAGTCTTATCTAAACTCTTGATTAGGCACAGCCAGGTCTGGCCTCAGCAACATTCCTCAAATCAAACAGGAATGAAACTGTCTTCAATGTTTTGCTTGTTTTGTTTTCAAAATAGGGTTTCTCTCTGTAGCCCTGGCTGTCCTGGAACTCACTCTGTAGACCAGGCTGGTCTCGAACTCGAACATATCTGCTTGCTTCTGCCTCTTCAGTGCTGAGTAAGTCGTGCACCACAATAGCCCAGCTTGTCCTCAACTTTTAAAATATCTTACGCAGAGGAACATTACAGGTATATTTTATTTTACCAGGAAGATCGCTTGAGACCATGGCTCCAAGGTCAGCCAAGGCAACATATTAAGATCTAGTCTCAAAAAGGAAAACAAAAACTTTACGTACACACATAAACATATGTACCCGAATATACGGAATAAAAACATCTTTGGAAACAACAGCAAATGCATCCACTGGAGAAAAACCCGAGAGGCACCAATCTACAAGTACTAGCCATAATCCCAAAGCTTCCAAGAGAAATGAAAGTGCTCCTGAACAACAACAAAAATACACGAGACAGTCTACAGGACTGACTGACCAAACGGTTGTAAAAAGATAATGAAGAAGGCAAAAGTTATTCCAGCGTTTTCAGTTTGAATAGCCAGGCGGCTAACAACAGCATTAGCCAATGGATGGGAGCAAAGAGAAGCGGCTCTGAAAGTTAGAAAGAGCAATACAGGAAAAAAAAATCCAAGAGTCTTAGTTATTCATAATGTCCTACAACTTAAGTAAAATGTCTACATTAGTGTTCCTTTTATTACACTGCTTTGTTGTATATTTTAGGAGTGGGGCACTGATAATGATGCCCAGGCTCACCTCCAATTCCTGTGCTCAAATTATTTCCCAGCCTACAAAGCAGCCAGGCACATGTGGCTTAGTCTTTTTAAAAATTGAACATACACATTACACAACAAAAACACACTGCTTCTATACATTTCAACATATATACTACATAACCTGGTGGAAAATGGGAGATGGAAGCAGTGAACTTGCTTTGGGCCAACTGAGTCCGCAGAAAGTGCAAAACTCTCAAATTGAAGGCTAGGGGAAAGAAAGGCATGGCTTGTGGGAATAATGCATGAACACAACACATGTAGGTGAGAACACTCTCAAGGGGAACTGATGAAGAGCATGCATTCTCGCAATAAGGGGCAAATGTAAGAGCAGATCAACCAAAACAAAAGCATCCCAAGAGACTAAAAGTTTTTATTCCAAAAGCACACTGACAAAAAAAAAAATCTACCCTTAAAAGCGATAAAAGCTACCATGGCAGGCACAGAAAGTTACGGGAGCACGCCTTGTATAGTACTCTTTATTAAGTCAGAAAAGACTATTCAGACTCAAAAAGTCGAGGTGCATAGGTTTTAGGGAATGTCTCCCTCTTCTTTTGGACCACTACTGATTTGTCCTAGCAATTGTACTAAACGTGCTACCTAACTCTCTTCCATCCTCTTAAGCCTGTTAGGAAATAGACACTTGATTTCAACAGCAAGTAGTTCAGACAAATCTCTTAAGGAGCAATTAACTTTCATCCCATACCTCTTATGAGACAGGGTTTCTCTGTAGCTTTGGTGCCTGTCCTGGAACTAGATCTTGTAGACCAGCTGGCCTCGAACTCCCAGAGATTCACCTGCTTCTGCCTCCCGCGCTGGGATGAAAGGCGTGCGCCACCACCGCCTAGCTATCCCATACCTCTTCATGCCTAACTAGAGTGTGTCATTATTCGTCATGCTATAATATATTATTTATCGACTTTTTCCTCCCCTGTACTTCTAGCATTTCTGTTGGGGCTTCTGTCCTTCATTACTTTATCCTTACATCTTACCTGTAAACATTTTGTTCAAATGCATACATAACAACTAAGTGAAGACTAGCAACAAGAAAATCTATATATACTTAGAGGTGGTGGCACTGACAGATGGATCTCAGTGAGTTCAAAGTCGGCCTGGTCTACAAAGTGAGTTCCAGGACAGTCAGGTTTGTTACACAGAGAAACCTTGTCTCGAAAAAGAAAAAAAAGGAGGCGGGGGGGGGGGTCTCAAAACACAAAAGCATTGTCAGTACTGTAAACTAATAAAAAACAAAATCGTCACTATATTTTATCTTTGTCACTGAACTATCTTATTCATTAGGCCAAGATCTACTACGTGCAGAAATAACAATATGTTAAGAACTAAAAGGAAAACAAAATCTGGTACACATCAGAAGGCTTTGAGCAAGTAGCCTCATCTAAGTTCAGGAAAGCCATCGAGACTACAAATGCTTACATCTTATTTGGCTCGGATAAATCTGAAGACAAATTAAAAGGGTAAACAGCGCATCCTTTAGTAAAACTTGCGACGGAGGACAAGAGATAAAAGTGTTGGGGCACCTCCGCCTCGGCGATCGCAGCCTGCGGCGACGAGGGAAAACTCCCGCAGAAGCGTCCCGCCCAAACTAGGGGTCCGGCTGCCCCGGCTACTTTCTCAGCAGCGCAGAGCGAGGAAAACTCCCACACTCACCGCGAAAGGCACCACTAAAGCCGTGGCCCCCCCAGGGCCGGCGAGTCCGTGGCGAGGCCCCGCGCCGCAGAATGACACCCAGGAACACTGGAAGCAGAAGGACAGGGACGACCCCGCAGCCCAACTTCCCAGCTACAGACACCAGGGGCCCAGCGCCCAGCACCGAGAAGCCAACTCCCACCAGCTGGAACACCGACGACAGCCACCGAACCTTCCGCCCAATGAGGAGACGTCATCACTCAGCGTGGGCCAGCCCTTCGTGGAGAAAACACACTTCCGCTTCCGGGGCACAAAGCCGCGTTCCGGCGGCCACCTACGCTAAGGATTGAGGGGCGTTCTTTGCTGGGGCTGACCTTTGACCTTAGTATGCTACCTGTACGTCACTGCGGCGGCCGGCTAGCGGCGAAACCAGCCATCTCCGGGTGCTATCTCGGGGGACAGTCAGGACTCGAAGAGCCACCTGGAGAAAGAGCGACTAGGCGACAGTGTGCAGGGGGACCCGGCGAGGGGGCGAGGCTCGGGGCTTCCGCAGCCGCCAGAGACGGGAATCCCCCGAGGGGGCGGGGCTTAGCGGCTCGGCCCTCTTGAGTGACGTCTCCACGGAGGGCGGGGTCGCGGCGAGCGCGGGTTCTGTCTGCGCGTGCTCAGTGCGAACGTGTTCGTGTTGTGGTTGCTGGCTGCGGCATGGACTTTGGCTCCGCTCGCCGAGCTGTGCTTCAGCTGCTCGGTGCTACGGCTCCAGCAGATGTCCCGGCACTGCTCCACTGGATGCGAACTACGCGTAAGCTGTCATAGCTAGAGCCCGGCCGTTTGCTGTTGGCTTTGATCTTGGGGTACCAGGACAGGGCGGGGACTATGCACCAAGTTCTCAGGCAGCTCTTGGCCACCGCACACCACACACCTGGTCATCACAGTGCATTTTAGGAATGGATGCCTGAGAACCAACTTTAGGTGGTTTGTGATGCCCGTGCTGACTTTAGACAGGCTTCTAGACCTTCTTTGTTCAGTTACTCGCACAGGCGGATTCTACCCGGAATAGCAATGTTCAAAAAGGTTTAAGGCTGTTAGAATTATCTTCAAGTTAATAACAACAACAAAAAGCCATTATGTAGCTATACATTTATTTTTTTATACATGGTAAAATGGAAATCTTTTGGGGTGTGGGATGGACAAAAAGACTAATTTTAAACTGTTAATAGTAAAAGTAAAACCAAAATTACAGAGGTTAAGGGAATTTTCTGTTTTTTGTTGTTTTTTTTTTTTTTTTTTTTTTGAGACAGGGTTTCTCTGTAGCTTTGGAGCTGTCCTGGAACTCGCTCGTATAGCCTAGGCTGGCCTCAAACTCACGGAGGTCTGCCTGCCTCTGCCTTGCAAATGCTGAGATTAAAGGTGTGCACCACCGCCCGGCCCAAGGTTCAAGCAATTTTCAATTGTCATATTTATGTTGAAACTTCAAACAACGTTAAAGGAGACTATGTGGCTGTTTACCAGATGGGGGCCTGCATTTAACAAGAAGTTGAGAATTCTGGGGAATCTCTGAGCCTGCCTAGAAAAAAAAAAAACATAAAACTCTTAGATGTTTAAGAAAATTGCATAAACTGGGCGGTGGTGGCACACACCTTTAATCCCAGCACTTTGGGGACAGAGGCTCGCAGATCTCTGTGAGTTCAAGGCCAGCCTGGTCTACAAGAGCTAATTCCAAAACAGCTAGGAATGTAACACAGAGAAACCCTGTCTCGAAAAACTAAAAAAGAAAATTGCAGCATTTTAGGAGATGTGGCATGTTCATTTGGTATGTTGTGTTACGACCCATTTGCATGTGTGCTGTTTACAATTAGTTAGGTTTTCTTTGATTTCTTTCATTATATAGGTCCCACCCTTGTTTTGTAAAGTATATCTAAATATTTTTCTTGAGCTATTATACAATGTAGGGTTTTTAAATGTGTAATGTTCTTTTATTGTCATTGTTAATGTATATGAGTGTTTTGCATGTGTCTGCACGGACCAGAAGAGGGTGACAGATGCTTGTAAGCCACCATGTGGGTCTCTAGGATCCTCTTGATCCTAGGTCTTCTATGAACAAGTGTTCATAACTGCCAAGCCATCTGACCAGCCCATAAATTGTACTTTTAATTTCCATTTCCCTATACAAAGATGAGGGTAACCGTCCGTTGTTTTGTGACCTGTGACCTTGTTGAAATGACTGGTTTTAGGTATTTTTTCAGTAGACTCCATAGTTCTTTCTCCAAAGATAATGTCATCTCTGTATAGACTTAATTTCCTTTTTTAATGTTTTTGATTTTGAAAATTTCTCTCAATATATTTTGGTGATATTCTTTCCCTTCCCCCAACTCCTCCCATACCCCTCAGCCCACTTCACGTTCTTTCTTAGAAGAAAAAAAAACTCCAAACCAAAAATATGGAATGCTCTGTGAGTTTTCATGATAGCCTCTGTATTGGCCATAGGCATGCCTGATTTCATTCCTCTCCCTTTCCATGGGTTTTCCTTTCTCGACGTCTTGGCCAGTACTATACACAGTAAGGGTGCCGAGACCAGACCGCTTTTCCTTCCCTCGCCTTCAATCGTTGAAAGTGTCAGCTGTAGAGGTTTCTTTGTAGGTACCTGGGACTCACCTTTCTTCTTGCCTGTGTGCTCAGTTCTTTCTACAAGAACAGAAGCCGCTTTCCTGGGTCACCTTGCTAGGCCACCTATCACTGATGAGGGAAGTCAAACCAAGCCTGTTGTGATTTCTGCTACTGGGCAGGTGTCAGGGTGTTGATGACCCCGAGACAGCAGGCTCCACTGATGGGACATCAGCCACCTCCCCGCTCCCACCCCTATCCACCCACCCCAGTGTGGAGTGCGGGCTGGGGCTCCCTAGTAGCCACCCACGCCTGTGTGGGGTGCGGGCTGGGGCTCCCTAGTAGCCACCTCCGCCTGTGTGGGGTGCGGGCTGGGGCTCCCTAGTAGCCACCTCCGCCTGTGTGGGGTGCGGGCTGGGGCTCCCTGGTAGTCTTTGTTATTCTTTTTCTCTGTCTCTGGCCACAGACAGAGCTTTCCTTAGGTTTATTTTGTTTTGTTTTCCTTGTATGCTCTATAACGGTTCTAGTTTGCAGGCGGCTAATGCCATGAATGGGCTTTATTAAAGACTTAAAAGCAGTTTAGCGCAGTCTACCTCCTCAGATCCTGTAGTAACAGAACAGTTCGCTTGCTTTCTAGTTTTCTAGTTGTTTTGTGCTGCTTGTTGGGTTGTTTATAGGGCATCTGGTTGGTTTAGAAGAAAGCAAGTGGGAGTCTCCTTAATTTGAGAGCATAAGAAGTACCATGTGACCTAGTACTCCCTATGTGCTCCTAGTGCTTTCTAGTAACTCACTAGAGATGAGCCGGGGGATGATACAGGTCAGAGTTGGAAGGAGCAGCGCGCATAGGAAGTAACATGAAACAGCGGAGATGCATCTAGAGCAAAAACATTAGGGAATGATGAGAATAGAAAGTGAGAAATTGACCTCACCTCTCTTACAATGGCTGTTATCAAAAAGGTCAAAAATGACAAGTGTTGGCAAAAATGTGAAGGGACATTGTTATATGTTGTTGATAGAAATGTAAATTAAATTAGCGTATCCATTTTGGAAAGTGGTATTGGAAGGTCCTCTAAACACTAAAAATAGAATTAACTTATTCAACAATTCCACCTCTGCATATATATCCAAAGGAATTAAAATTGGTATATCAAAGCTGTCTGTACCCCTGTATTTATTTCAGCATTATAAACGGAGCTTTAACATTTTATATACACAATAGATTATTGTTCAGCCTTTGTTGTTTGCTAGCCTTACCTGCCTACCTGCCGGCTTGAGTGGTGGTGACACTGAACCTAGGGATTCCCACATCTAAGCACACAGTTTACACTAGACTAAGCTTCACCCTTTAAAAAGAAGTTTCTGTTAACTTGCAATAACTTAGATAAATCTAGAGAGTTTTGTGTTATATGCAATAAGCCAGGCACAGAAAGACAAATATTGGGGCTGGAGAAATGGCTCAGAGGTTAAGAGCACTGCCTGCTCTTCCAGAGGTCCTGAGTTCAATTCCCAGCAACCACATGGTGGCTCATAGCCATGTGTAATGAGATCTGGTGCCCTCTTCTGGCCAGCAAGCATACAGACAAACAGAACACTGTATACATTGGAAGGAAGGAGGGAAGGGAGGGAGGAAAGACAAATATTGTATTATCTCACTGTGTTACGTTTTTCATCTCTGTGGACCAGATAACCTCACCAGAGGTAACAACTAACAGGAAGGCATGGTGGTGGGAGCTAGTTACTCATCTCTACAGCCAACCAGGAAGCCACGACTGTAGGGATAAGTCCCGCCCCTTAAGGGGCGTGTTCGCCTCGGGCTAATGTCTGCCTATAAATTTGGCGAGCAAGCTCCGACCGCTCGCTTCTGCTTTCCTGGTCTCTCCGCGGGAATGGTGGTTCTGTAAGTCTATTTCTACATTAAAGCTATATATATATATTTTTACACTCTGTCTGCATTCGTTTACGCCGCTACATTTTGGCGTCCAACGTCGGGCTATTTTGCCCCCGACTCAAGCGGGTAGCCCTCTAGCTAACACAGCACTCTCCCGGGTGCTGTTTTTCAGTTCGTGACTCCGGGCCCCTGTGCCGAGTCCGAGACACACTCGGCGACACAGGCCCATTCTGCCTGCCTTGGCTAAGTTTTGCAGCGGAACCCCACTGCCTGAATTAGCAGAAGCTCAAGTACTTTCGGTTTTGCAACAAAAGCTGCCACAGCTTCAGATTTGGTCTGTTACAAAGTGACTTGGCCGGTTGTGGTGGCCGACGCTGGTAGGATTTACTGAAGGAGGCAGAGGCAGGAGGATCACAAGTTTGAGGCCGGCCAGGCAGTGGTAGAGCACGCCTTTAATCCCAGCACTTGGGAAGCAGAGACAGGCAGATCTCTGTGAGTTTGAGGCCTGCCAGGCCTTGGTAGTGCACGCCTTCAATCCCAGCACTTGGGAGGCAGAGACAGGCGGATCTCTGTGAGTTCAAGGCCAGCCTGGTCTACAAGAGCTAGTTCCAGGACAGGCTCCAAAAACACAGAGACCACCACTGGCAGGAACCGATCATTGCAGGTAAAAAAAATTTTCTTTTATAAATAAAATGTCTGAACACATTACTGTTCAAGAATTTAATGATTTTTTTAATTGTACCATGTGGGAGATTCTACAAGAGGTGTCTATCACCCCACATATATGGATCCTTCT